ACAAGGATGAAGTTTTATCCTTGTAATACATTCATACAATATTGACTGTAATAGTTTCTGTTTACATCAGGTGCATAACAGTTTGGTTCCTTTATGTTTTCTACTCAATGTAACTTTTCCCCATAGCTGAGCTTTTACACTCTGGAAGTTCATCTTGGCACCATATAGGAGTCAGTACATACTTTTTCCCTTTTTTGTGCTCTCACTCGAATCTGAAATAGCAGATCTCCATGATGCTGTCACTAAGAAATCGCTTCAACTATGAAAAAGCCCTGAGGACACGATGGCCATGCAGCCACTTCAGAGCATCACTTGTCAAGTAGAACATGAATGTTTTCCTGCCAACTGCCATTCTAAAATAGCTTGATGCGTTTCTGCATGACTTCATGCACAGCAGCATTCAGCACACAAGCTTTACTTTGCTAAAGGATCTGCATACTGACAGGGAGAGCCCAAACCAGTTTGCCTATTTGGTATGTATTGGTGAGAAGCTTGAAGACTTGCCTCTCTTGGGTGACTGGTGCATGGAGAGCCAGATCTGCTGCTCTGGGAGTTGGTATGCAGCCGCAAGACTGAGAGGATAATGTTTCCTCTGGTATACTAATGTATGAAACTAGATCATCTACCAGAAGCTGCCTCTCTTGGAGCACATCAGAACTCCCCAGGACCCAGCAGACAGTGGGCTGGTGGAAGCTGACAGAAGCCTCAAGGTGTGCAGGAGGGTTTGGGTTTTGAGGTGTTTTGTTTCATGCAGTAATTCAGTGCTTGGAAGTCCTGTTATTTTGAATTCCTGAGGCCTCTGTGTAGTTGATTACACATGGTCACTTGCTAGGAAGGGATGTTGAAACCTGCAGAGGAGAAACAGGAGTAGCTGTTAGAAAAGATCCTGCCCTCTGGCTGTGTTCTCTGGCTTATACAGGGAACAGCAGTGGGTACAGCTATTGTCAGTTTGCAGGAGACTAAACTGGAAGGGGAGCAGGAAAACACTTACATTGTCAATATGTAACACCTCAGTTCTGCTAAGGCAAAGGACTCTGCCTTGGAGAAGGAGGAGTTAGGCAGGTGAAGTAGGGGGATTCTAGAGGGTAATTTCTCCTTTTCTCTGTGGTTGTGAGACTTTAGAATGTTACTTGATTTGTTCACTTGTAGAAGTTGGTAAAGTTTGGCATCTGCCTGACCTTCAGGGCAATCTCACGGATGCTTTTTTTTTTTACTTTTTTTGTACTGATTATGGTGTATTTCACCTCCCCCCCTGCCAAGTGTTAAGAACACTTAAGTGTGGCTTCCTTCTGTTTTCAAAGACTCCTCTCACAAATTGATTTTCTTCTATTTCAGTGTTGATACATCTGTTTGGCCAGCAGAGGAGAAGCCATGCAGAGGCATCTCCTAGGAGATTGCAGAGACACCTTGGTCAAAGCACTCTTTACTGATTTAATCTTCAGCCATATCACTGTTGATTAATCATTGCTAATTGTCATGTGACTAATTGTTTGTCAGCTTTGGCTGAGATGGGACCTTAAAGCTCATCCACTTCCAACCCCCTGCCACAGGCAGGGACACCTTCCACTAGACCAGGTTGCTCCAAGCCCCGTCCAACCTGGCCTTGAACACTGCCAGGGATGGGGCAGCCACAGCTTCTCTGGGCACCCTGTGCCAGCGCCTCAGCACCCTCACAGGGAGGAACTTCTGCCTAAGAGCTCATCTCAATCTCCCCTCTGTCAGGTTAAAGCCTGTCTCTATAGGCCCTTGTCCAAAGCCCCTCTCCAGATGTTTTGTAGGCCCCCTTTAGACATTAGAAGGCTGCTGTATGGTCTCCTCAGAGCCTTCTCTAGTTCTAGTTCTGTCAATGGTTTGGAAAAAACACCTTGAAACATTTATCTGTCTTTATGACTTCCTTCAATTTCTCTGTTGGAACAGAAATCTAGTGTTTTTGTGGAGGATGCTGGGTGCAAAGGATGGGTTGTTCTCACAGGTCAGTCCCTTCAGGGGTAGAAGCTCAGGCATGTTATTAGCACAACTTTACTGCGACAGCAGTGTGGTGCTTCAGCTGTCCTTCATATGATCTCAGGCATCTTCAGCTGCTGTATTTTTTGAGTAGTTGTGCAAAGATTAGCAAAGGACTTGGAATCCCTTTCACACATTGGTATTTTCTCAAATATGGAAATGTTCCACCTATTTAGGTGATGGGTTCAGACTGACCTTCGTTATATCACTAGGATTGTGCATAGACGTGTCTGAAATAGTGACTGCACTCTGTTAGTAGTTGAACTGTCAGTAAAACCAAGACCAGGACATTAGGAAGCTGGTCTCTAGGTCAAGTGCATACTTAGTGGAGAAAGAAACAGTTGTGTGATGAGATCCGGTGGCTTTATCTTCAAGTGCAAGCCAGAGATACCTGGATTCAGTGGTGTGTGTGGCTTCAGATTGGCCAATGTGTCCTTTCTGTGGTGAGGAGGTTCTTGCAGCTCAGTACCCCAGTGAAGCAGTTGAAGTGAGGCCTTGGAATGGTATCTGTACTTTGATCATTAGTAGAACAGCTCTTGTTTCTCTGCAGACTCCCTCAAATGTTCCTGGCACAGCTGTACCCCTGAAAGAGCAGAGGGTGAGAAGCTGAGATCACCCTATTTGGCAGTTCCTTCTGCTCCAACTGCTTTGTAACTCTTAAATTTGTGGGAAATATGAGTACTTGAGGCAAGAAATCCTTGGCCAGCCCTGATCCAAGAAAAATAGATGGTGTTGGCTCAGCCTTGTTCCTGCTTGGTGAAGGTGGAGCCCTGGCACATGCCACGTTACCTGCTTCCTGGCACTGTGAGCTGAGGTGGAGGAGACTGTGCTTGTGTTCAGGCAGCATGGGGCATGGTGCTGTGAGCTGAGGATGAGGAGGGCCTGGTGCTCCTTGCAGGAACAGAGCTGTGGGATTTTATTAGTATTTGGGTGAATTTATGATCTGCTGTCAAAAGTATGGATAATCTAGTACCATTCTCAAGGTGACCTTCTGGCTCTAGAGGTGGTGTCTAATCTCTATGCTAACTATTGTTTTCCAAAGCCATGGGGTTATATGGGGCAGCTTTCTTTTAGGGTAGGAATTTCAGTTATACTTGTCGCAAGTATGTTAAGGGCATGTGTAAGAAGTGGCATGGGACAAACAGTTGAAAAACAGTAGCTAAATATTCTGGTATTCCAGTGGCCTACAAAGGTGTTCACAGCTTTCACTGTCCACTGAGGCTCCAGTAACAAGGAATGGTGGCCTGGAGAGACTCTTGCTTGTATGAGTCTGGAGGATTGGGGGAGGATAGGTAGAGGCACAAGTAGGGAGTATTAACTTTGCCTGAGAGGATTAATCTGCTGGCAACTGCGGATACCTGAGAGCAGGTAGTGAGGGATGCAACCCCTCTGCTCTGTGACCCTTGAGGGAAGTGCAGTGTAACTAGGAGTGGGTAGCTGGAATCCATGATTTCCCATCATAACAAATTAAGCTGCTTAAAGAAATGTGTGTGCTTTTGGTTGCATGGAGCCAGGTGGATTGCTGTTGGAAACTCACTTGCTGTGGGAAGTTCTGTATTTATCAAACCAGGTTTTGTTGTTCTTGTAACCAGGGGTGAAGGCACGTGCAGTGGTCTCTCGGATATGGGGGAAGTTCTCAAAGAAATGTGGCAAAACAAGCAGAACACTACTTCAGTGACTTGGAGAGGATGACTTCAAGACCTCTGCACTTTGTTTCTGGCTAACTCAATGCTGGTTGTCTGTTTGCTCTTTCCTCCTGATACTAGAGCACCATGATAATCTGAAATAACTTCTATTCCATCCAGAAGTCTAGTAGCAGGAGATAGGGAATGTGTCTTTAATAGCCTGAGCTATTTTAAGAGCAGGTATTATTCCAGGGTACAGGAATGGGGCAACTAGCCTTCAAACTGCTGTAGTAATGGAGACTGCAGCCACCCTGAGCATGCCCACAGCGCTGTGCATGTGCTGGCAATTGAGCTGGTCTTTATCATTATCACATTAATGTTTTCTTTTGTGGTAGATAAAGATATAAAGACTCATGAGAGCACTATGTGCTGTATAAAAGAGTTGTCTCTTACAGAAGACAGGAAGCTAGCAGCTGTTTGTAGAGGTTGGGCTCAGCTCTGGACTGATAGCAAAAACATCTTACGACCAGACCAGTGTAACTCTTAGAGTGCAATGGAAAGAGAGCACAGGTTCTCCTCCTGCTGTACCTGAACCCTGGACTGCTTGTACTTTAGTTGCTTCAATTCCATATCTACAACAGCATCACAAAATGCAAGATGTTTTTCAGAAATGCAAGGAAAACATTCCATCCTGCAAAGATCCTGCAACGTAATGAGAGGTTAGAGAGGAGTCACAGTAGGTACCATTTATGCAAGGGCCATGAAAAGCTGGATTTTTGCTACAGCTGGTGATGAAGCTTTGGGTAAAAGGCTTTTCAGAGGGTTTGGTTAATTAAAACAAGGAAGACTTCAGAACCAGGACAGAATTATTTTAGAAATGGATTAAGTGAGTAGCCAGTAATTGGAGGCCTTACCCTTGATAGTCCAGGGCAGCTGGAACTGTTTCACACATCACATTTTAAGGCACAGGAGTACTAAATATTTTTCAATAGCCTTCTTCATACAGGCAATGTCTGACTTGAATGTTACTGTCTCTGGGTTGAGCCTTTAGCTAGCAGAAATCAGAAAAGCTGTGCTTGCTTTTGCTAGCCAAAGATTAGGTTCCTGATGTTTGAGTTATTTTGCTTCTATTTCTTGTGTGAAGGATAAGTTTTATGTTAAGACATGCTTGGCTTGATGACTGAAATGAGCAGATCCTGGCTCTGTTCATAACTATTTGGCTTTAACTTCAACCTCTGTGTTGGTTCCCTTTTCCTCAGAGGTAAAGGGCCTCTGTTCTGTGTGGCTTTTACTGTAAGGGAATTAATTAATTTGGGAAGAGTTAAAGTTGATCTATCCAGAATCTGAAACTTGCTTTGTTTTCACTCCCAGGCATATGAGAAACGCTTTCCTACATGTCCAGAGATCCCAGTCTTCCTGGGGAGTGAAATCCTTCATGAATCCAGGAGTGATGATGGAGCTATACATGTCATTGAACGGAGCTGCAAACTGAATGTGGATGCTCCTAGGCTGCTGAAGAAGGCAAGTGGAACCCTGGGGTTTGTTGACTGGGTCAGATAGATAAAGGCTCCTAAAATTACTCTCTCTGTTTTTCCTCCTCCTCTTGGTTCTTCATCCTTCTCAGATTGCAGGGGTAGAATATGTGTTTTTCATCCAGAAAAACACAGTCAACTGGAAAGAGCGAACTCTCCGCATTGAAGCCCACAACGAGACTTTTGCCAACCGTGTTGTCGTTCTTGAGACATGTAGCTACTCAGTAAGTGCTTCCAACCTTTCCTTCACAGACAAATAAACAAAATCCTGTACTCGTATGCAGAGTAAAGTTGCTTGACTGAATTTGAGCACTGGACTGTAGCGTACTGTGGATAGACACTCTTGGACTGGGAAGGCTGCTGGATCTTAGGGTTTTCCAATGCTTTTGTAGACCTTGAGAAACTTTCTTAGGTTGATTGTGCTTCTCTGATGGAGTGCTAGGCCCTACAGTGAGAGTAGTGGTTGAAATTCAAGTTAGTAGAAGCATTTGGAGCTTGAGTGTGTATTTAGATCTAGATATTTAGAAGGAAATCCTCAATATTTATTATGATGAGGGCCAGAGAGAACCCTGGCAATTAATTTTGCCCACATATAAGGTGGTAAAACTTGCACTTGTTATGATCTTCACGCTTGAAACATTTGGAGGAAGGTCCAGAGCTCTGTTTGTGGCCTGGGGTGTCTCACTTTGTGGCTGTATCTTCAGCAGTAGTATGCTTTTTCATTGTAACTATGCTGTTAGGGCTCAGTCACCATTAAATAGCTTCATCTGTTTCTGGAAGCAATCAGATACTGCTCTTTGTTCTCTAAACAAAAGTCTAGATCCAGTTACTTACCTGCCTCATTGGCAACTGGACAACAGCTCAGCTTCTTGGAAGTAAGCAAACTGTAAGTAGCTGCTGTTTCAGGCAAGACAAAGGTTGAAAAGCTGTTAATGTTTTTGATGCTGAGGGGGTTTCCTGAGGCAGAGATCACTTGCTGGCTAAAGGGCTTCCGGAAAAACTGCAGTAGGTCAGGCTTCCCTCATCGTGAGAGATGCTGACAGCTCCCAGGTCAGCTCTGGAGAATTGCTCAGATGTTGTTGCACTTGCTGATTTCGGCTGTGTTGCCTCCTGCTCATATCCTTTGGAAGGAAAGTCAACAGCAGGGCTCGGAGGGAAGCACTCTTCCCACTCCAGGGCGGGAGCTTGTGGGCTGCATCCTCACGGCGCTTCCCGGCTCTATTTTTACCAGTTCCTTTTTCCCTGCCAGAGTGCACCGGAAACAGGTTTATTCTCATCTTTCCTTTTCTGCAGTGCTCTCTGAAGCAACTTGGAGAAATAGGATCCTGCTCTTGCAGTTACTTAATATGTTCCCCTGGGGGAATTTGTGTCCTTTATAGAGCTCCTGTCTTTGTGTGTGGGCTGGAATTTCTTTCTGTCGTGTCAGTTTGTGAACAGCAGCACCTACAGAGAAGAGGCTGAGCCCTCTCAGAAAAAGGTTAAATTTGAAAAAGGAAAAAAGTACATAGGTTTTATGTAGAGTAACTGAGAGGAACTGGCTAGAAAGAAAAGGCGTATATGGGTACTGAAGAGGGACTCTTTATCAGGGACTGTAATGATAGGCCAAGGGGCAATGGGTTCAAACTAAACCAGGGAAAGTTCAGGTTAGATGTAAGGCAGAAGTTCTTCCCTGTGAGGGTGCTGAGGAGCTGGCACAGGGTGCCCAGAGAAACTGTGGCTGCCCCATCCCTGGCAGTGTTCAAGGCCAGGTTGGACGGGGCTTGGAGCAACCTGGTCTAGTGGAAGGTCTCCCTGCCCATGGGAGGGGGTTGGAACTGGATGAGCTTTAAGGTCCCTTCCAACGCAAACCAGTCTGGGATTCTATATTGAACTGACAGTGGGAAATCCCTCTGTTCTGCCATGTCTTGTGTTCTGAGGGGAAGACCAACATAAGTGGTTGAGTTGCCTATGCAAAACTAGAAAAAAAGTTTTGTGTTTCTTCTCTTGCAGATGTAGGGGTTTTCAATTGTATGTGCAATCCCTGCCTTTCTGTAAAGAAACTTTGAGAGCAGTCACTATTTTAGTGCAACTTTTGCTATAAATATTACTGTTCAGGTCAGCTGGAGCAGGGAGTTTTTAATCTTGTGCATGTAAAGAATGCTGGGGTTAACCACTGTCGTGGTTTAAACCAGGCAGAGCTCCTTCACTCACTGTCCCCCCTCGTCTTCTTGCCCTCCCCCTACCCCCGAAGGGACGGAGAATTGAAAAGAATGCAACTCCCACGGGTTGAGATAAGAACAGTTTAGTAACTAAGGTATAACACAAATCATTACTGCTACCACCAATAATAACAATGATAAAGGAAATAACAAGGGAAGAGAATACAACACCTCACCACCAGCCGACAAATAACTTGCCCCCCCCCCCCCCCCCCAGCCTGACCAAGCACCGACCGATACCTCCTCCAACCCTGCAGTCCCCCAGCCCTTCCGGGTAACTCCCAGTTACATCCTGGGCATGATGTGCTGTGGTATGGAATACCTCTTTGGTCAGTTTGGGTCAGGTGTCCTGTCTCTGCTTCCTCCCAGCTTCCCCTCCTCCCTGGCAGAGCATGAGGCTCACAAAGTCCTTGGCCAAACAAAAACATCATTGTTATCAGCTCTGTTCCCAGGCTGAAAGTCAAAACACAGCACTGCACCAGCTACCAAGAAGGAGAAAAATGACTGCTACTCCTGAACCCAGGACATTACCCACCCTTTATTCCATACCATTCACGTCATGCTCAGATCCCACATTTTCAATATGCCATCACTCTTATGTTAGTTTTATAGGGACTGGTCCATGCACTGCTGAGTCCATCTGGTCCATGATGTCAGGCTCCATCTCTTGTAACAGTCTTCCAGAGCAGGAGAGACTGTGTGCAGTGTTCACACTCGTGAACAATCTGTGCAATAGTGTCCATTGCTAAATCCACCCCTCGATCATGAGTCCATCTCTATGTTGCATATCTGCTCTGATGGCCTGAAGTGCCATGGGCCCACCTGGCTTTAAATAATTCACTGTCCCCTTCAGCAGTTTCTGCAGCTTGTTGCTGGGGACTCCATACAGCTGCCTTCCATCTCCGACGCTTCCAAAGCACTGGAGGGGCCCAGTGGACTAGATACTTGCCCATGCTGTCCCACATGCCCTGCCACTCATGACTGTCCAGCCTTGGGGAAAATCTCCTGGTCCTCCTATATGCTCGTCTAACCCCAGACAAGACCCAAACCTGAGTCTGCTTAACTTTTGAGATCAGACAAAATGGTTGTGGGTAAAACACACTCTGTATGTCTGCCAACATGCTGATCCCTATCACAATCAGCAGGCAGGTCCCAAGGGTACCCAAAGGCCATTCAAAACCTTCAGAACTCTCAGTTGATGCTGCTGTACTTGTCACTGGGGCTGGTGTAGCCGCTGTGCTTGCCGGCTCTCCCACCACCAGCTTCTCTTTTCCTGAGTCCAGCTCTTCCTCCTCTGCCTTGCTGGGAAATGCTGCGTGGTCTCCTGCATCCTCCTGGGGCTCGGCGGGTGGCTGCCGGGGAATGCTCTCGGCCGTCGCAGGGCTGGGCTCGGCTCCTCCGCCGCCTTCTCCCTTTGCTCGGCAGCCGCCTCCTTCCGCTCCTCGACTGCCCCGACCTCCTCCACCGGCAGCCGTCCCCTCGCGGCTTCCCGGCCCCGCTCCCGCCGCCGGTTGCTCCCCGGGGCCGCTCTCCCGGGCCGCTTCAGCAGCCGCCGGCTCCCGAGGCCGCTCCCCCTCGGCTCCCCGCAGCCTCACGGAGGCGAGGGCGAAGGCCAGGCCGGTGAAGAGCAGCCGGACGGCCAGGTACAAGTCCACGGCCACGTCCGTCCCGCCCTGCTGCTGGAGCCCGCCCGTATTACAAGTCATTGCCATAAAGCACAGTGAGACAAGAACCTTAGCCCAAGCCCCACACTTGATAAACACTAGCACAGCAAATAGGGGCTCTAAGTAAGGTACTACATTCTGAAACTGTGAGATCAACAAGAACAACTCTGAGAGCCAATAAATCAGCATTGCAACGAGTGACTATTAATCCGGTCAGATCTGTTGTTATCTCAACCCCTCATGCCCCACGTTGGGCGCCAAAAAAGAACTGTCGTGGTTTAAACCAGGCAGAGCTCCTTCACTCACTGTCCCCCCCTCTTCTTGCCCTCCCCCTACTCCCAAAGGGACGGAGAAGAGAACCGAAAAGAATGCAACTCCCACGGGTTGAGATAAGAACAGTTTAGTAACTAAGGTAGAACACAAATCACTGCTGCTACTACCAATAATAACAATGATAAAGGTAATAACAAGAGAAGAGAATACAACACCTCACCACCAGCTGACCGATAACTTGCCCCCCCCCCCCCCCAGCCCGACCAAGCACCGACCGATACCTCCTCCAACCCTGCAGACTCCCAGCCCTTCCGGGTAACTCCCAGTTACATCCTGGGCATGACGTGCTGTGGTATGGAATACCTCTTTGGTCAGTTTGGGTCAAGTGTCCTGTCTCTGCTTCCTCCCAGCTTCCCCTCCTCCCTGGCAGAGCATGAGGCTCACAAAGTCCTTGGTCAGACTAAAACACCATTGTTATCAGCTCTGTTCCCAGGCCGAAAGTCAAAACACAGCACTGCACCAGCTACCAAGAAGGAGAAAAATGACTGCTACTGCTGAACCCAGGACAACCACAAACATTAATATGTCCAGTTCATGATGCATTCCATTGCTCTGGGAGAATTAACCTGACTTAAATATGGGTCTGTTGGTGCCTCATAGGAAGCCTCTTCTGTGCCCTCAGTCTCTAGCTCTGGAGATTAAATAGCCAGTTGTACCAGGGGCAAGGGCACTGATATGTTGTGAGAAGTCTGCTACCATCCAACCCTGTGTCTGTCTTTGGGCTTAGGTTCACCCTGAGAATGAAGAGTGGACTTGCTTTGAACAATCTGCATCTCTCGACATCAAGTCATTTTTCGGTTTTGAAAGCACAGTGGAAAAGATTGCCATGAAGCAGTATACCTCAAACATCAAGCGGGTAAGATGGGCTGTCCTTTGTGCCAGAAACCCCGCTCTCAAACACCTGCTCTCAGTGTGCCTCTGTGAGATAGAGCCAGTCTAGTTTTATACTTTTGCTCATGTCTCTGAAATCTCTCAGTAAGAAAAAGCCAGCGTACACTGAGCAGAAAAACAGTGTGCTTGCTGGAATTTGTCTGTGCAGAGGAGGGAGCAGGCTGTGCCAGAGGAGGATGGCAGTGGATGTGGTGGGTGCCAGGCTTCTCGCACACTGAGGACAATGTTCTTCTGCAGGAAGAGAAAGTTCTGGGTAAAAATTAGCACCCTGTCTCTCAGCTTGGGAAGAGCGGTTTCCTTTTGGTGGCCTTTTTTTTTTTTTCCCCTTGGGCTGCATAGGAACAGGGCAGCTAATTGATGGCTTGGGAGCAGGAGAGGGGATACAAGTGTTGCATTGGCATTGGCATTTGCTTGGCCAGTGTTGTAATTCACCATTTGTATGGTGCTTCCAAAGTTTTCCAGCAGGGCTGTGCAGATGGAAAGAGACAACTATTTTCTTCTGTTTAACAGCATTAGTCATCTGTCCTGAGGAAAGTTTTCCTGCACCTTGCTGGTTCTGGGGAGATGGGGTGGTTTTTTCCTAATGAGAGTCATCCCCTTCAGGGCAAGGAGGTGATTGAACACTATCTGAAGGAGCTGATCTCCCAAGGGATCACGTTCATCCCCCGCTGGACACCTCCCTGTGTGTGTGAGCAGAAGGATGAGCAAACCCCAGCTGCTGGAGATGCTGCTGATGCTGCTGTGGCCCTTGACTCTGGAGCTCTTGGAACTACCAAAGAGCAAACTGGCAGCTCCTGCCTTCCAGCAGAGGCTCTCAGCTCTGATGGTATGTGATGTCCAGATCTAAGTGCCTTGAACAGCACTGACTAATAAGTTTAGGTTTACTACTTTTGGCATAAGGATTTTCTTCTGGATTGTGGGTGGGGAGGAAGGAAAGTTATTTTCTTCAAGAAAAACACAAACAATGGAATTTTTCTCCCCCCAAAAAACTGAAAAGCCAAGAAAAACTCTGCCTGCAATAGGTTTAGTTTGAGCATAGGAAGAAAACTTGGTTTTCATCTAGCTTTAAGGTACTTTATACCTTAAATTTGAGAAACTTAAAGGTGTCTTGAGTATGCTATACCTAAATTATAATGAAACGTTTTAGCTATTTTAAAATTCATATTCTTGAGGATTTATTTGGATGGTTTTTGCCCCTCTATCAGGCCAAGACAATGTTGCCTAATGCCTTACTCACACAAGATGCTTGAATTGGATTTTATCTTTCTAGATCTTTGTGTGTTAATCTGATGGTATCTTCTAGACTAAATAAAATTCTTTTCTGCAAAAAGAAATAGGAGGGACTTTTTAATTGAGAGCTGTGGTATTAGATAAAGGAGTTGTCATTCCTCGGAAGGAAAGACAGCACTTGTTTTGCTGAGTGTAACTAGGGGAAAGGCTTGGAATTTGGAACTGTCAATGGTTCTGGTGTCACCAGACCTTCTCTGGTAGGAGAATTGGAATCCATCTGGAAAAAGAATAAAAAAACCTCAAAGGAGTTGACTGCGAAATATTCATGTGTTTTGGGGTTCAAGTTAATCTGAGAGAGGGACTCTTCATCAGGGACTGTAGCAATGCGATAAGGGATATTGGGTTCAAACTTAAACAGGGAAAGTTCAGGTTAGATACAAGGAAGGAGTTCTTCCCTGTGGTGATGTGCTGGAACAGACTGCCCAGAGAAGTTGTAAATGCTCCATCCCTGTCAGTGTTCATGGTCAGGTAGGACAGAGCCTTCGGGCGACATGATCTGGCATGATGTGTCCCTTCCCATGGCAGGGGGTTTGAACTGGATGATCTTAAGGTCCTTTCCAACCCAAACCATTCTGTGACTAAGAGTGGCAGATCCCATCTAGCAGAAAAGGAGAGTAGCTCTTACTTATTTGCTTATATTCATGTTTAGGAAGTGATCAGCTTCCCTGGGACTGCTGTCCTGTTTTCTGGCTCGGTGGATTCAGTGGGGGCATAGCGCTTCTATGCTATAATTTCCGTATTATCAGTCAGTACCAGCCCATCCTGTGGGTGTCCAGGCCTTATTCTGTCATTAAGGGTACTTGCTGAAAGTATTTCGTGCTTGATGAAGAGCTAGCTCAGAGGTGGATCTCCCAGCCCTCCTTCTCATGTGCCTTTGTACCTCCAGCACAGCTATTGGCCTGTGCTTTGCTTCCCTTTGGGTACCACTTTCTCCTTGCTGGCATCTGCACATCCAAGCTTCGGATGACACATCTACTTCTGTCTCTGAATGCTGGCAGTCTCGCACCCCTTGTCCTTTGTCTCTGATCTAGAGGGAACTTGAACTGCTGGTCTGCACAGGGCTTCTCTTCATGCCTTAAAGTCTCCCTTGCTGTCAGAAATGGTACTGTTATGGTAGTGTTGTTCTCCCTTTCTGGTGCCAATTTTCAGCCAGCTGGTTTTTAGCTTCTTGTCATGGGAATTTTGCATGGGATCTGTAGGGAACTGGGGGATTTAAATGCCCAGGTGTTGGAGATGGGTGCTAGAGCTCATATTTCTGAAGTTCCTGCTGAAGCATTCCAGGGTTGAATGAAATATTAGCATTCCAGAAGACAGGAGGAGTGATTCTTAAATGTTGCCTGTGTTGTCATGCCTTAATCGCCGTGAGAATATCCCTCACTTCCTTAGGCATCAAAAATGAGGGCTTCTGAGCTCTTCCAGTGTAAATCCTAAGTAACCTGCTGTGTAGAAATCTCCTTTCTGGCTATGCCAGGTCTCCTCTGAACTGTTCTCTTTTACTCCCTCCAGGTGACAAGCTGGATGCTGATTACATCGAGCGCTATCTGGGCCAGCTGACCCCAATGCAGGAGAGCTGCTTGATCCGCCTGCGCCAGTGGCTGCAAGAGACGCACAAAGGCAAGGTGGGTAGATGAGGCCGGGAGCACGCTGTGCAAGCCTCAACACAAGGTTCTTGTACCTCATGTGCCTTCAACCCTCCAATAAAACTCAGGTCCATGGACAATTTGTGTGCTGAGACTTGCCTGTGTTGGCAAGGTTGGGTGAAAGGCCAGTAGCAAAAAGCCTGTGTGACCTTGCGGTGGGATCTGGTGGTATCAGACCTGTGTTTTCTTGGTTCAGTGCTCTGTGTGGGAAGGTCCCCAAGCCCAGAGGTTTTGCTGTGGGTTTAGAGTAGGCATTGGCTGGGGCTTGACTGCCCAGACTGTTTGCCCAGGACTGTTTGAGTGTGTGGGAAGTAGACGGTCTCACCTTGTATGTTGTGTAAAGCCTCTAAAACAGAGGAGCTGAGGACACTAGATGTGGGCAAGTGCAGCTGGAGTTGGCCAGCTAGTAGACGTAGAAACACATTTCCCTAAAAAGCAGCAGAGGTACTGTGCGCTAGATGTATCCCTACTCTGCTGAAATACAGCTCTGCTTCAGCAGCTGCTTGGGCTCCTCCTGGTTGGAGTGTCTAGATCAGACCAAGAGGTAACTGGTATGTGGTTGAGAAAAGAAAAAATCTAGAGCAGTTTGAATGCCTCAAAGGTGATCTAACTTGAGGTTTCCTAATGGAGAGAGATTGAGTGGGATGGAAAGACCAAGGATACCAAAAGACAGTAAGTGGGTGAGCTGAATAGATAAATAGTGGAATGTTGCTTACAAAGAGAGGAAACCCGGAGAAATATTGTTGGAGCAAGTGACTCTCCTTGAAAACAGAGTACAGCTAGATAAGGTTTCAATAGTAATAGCTTCCTGCCTTTGAAGGTAACTGTTCTGTCAGCCATACAGAATGAGTTAGGAAGTATTCTGCAGTCACAGGCTTTGGATTTGTCTTTTTCTTTGAATTGGCCTTTTCAAAAGAGGCTACTGTGCTTTCTATGTGCCTTGCTGTGCCTTTGAGAGCTGAGAAGAGGGCATGTCTCATCTGAGTATAAGGGGAGGTGTAAGAGCTTAAACATGATTTCTAAACCCCTTGTTTCTTCTTGGGAAAACTAATTGTCTATGTAGAAATAAAGTGTAACAGATTTAGTGCTATAGTTTTGTTACTGAACTTGAAGTCCCCTTCTGTGGGGGGGGGTGTTGGTACCTGTGAATGTGGATGGAGAAACAGTTACCAGAAAACCACAGGCTGAAGAGAACAGCGGAGGTAACGGTAACAGCAGAGGTTGAGGTAATGTGTGAAAGTCTCCCAGCAGCTGACAGGCTCCAGAGAATACCAGCACTGTTGAATCTGTGAGATGATAAATTGAGAACACCAAGCATCTGCCAAATCTGTCCAAGGCCACTGGTCTAGAGTAGCATCAGCAACAGGTTATATAACTGAGACCGTGTCCAAAATTATGCTGGCTGCTAGATGCAGGTAGAGCCTACAGGAATATATACACCCTCAACAGAAAAAAGGACTGAAGGGCTGTCTGAACGTCTACCTGCAAGCTCCTATCATGTCAATATGATTCTCTGCCTCTGAGTAAACATCTAGGGCTGGCCTCCCAACTAACCAGGTAACTGTGTGTGCACTGCTAATAACAGCTTCACTGACGAAATGAGCTCTACTAAGTATTGGTTGTGATCTGTCTCCCATGATCAACCTCCTGTCAAATAAAAGGGGTTTGACAACAAGCAGACATAAAGCAAAGGGTAAGGATAAATGCCCAGGCATTATTATGTTATGAAATATGGGGTACAAGGCTTTTCAAGTTGATAGTAACCTGTCCAGTGGATTTCTATGTGGTAGGAGATGTCTCAACTATTGGCTAACCAGCTAAAAATGAGCCCTAGATGAGAGTAAGACAGTGAGACTTTATCCATGTATGGGATCTCCAAGGATCCTGCTTTCAGGTGGAAGAAACACAATTTAAATGGTTGGGTGTGTTTTTGCATGTAGGGGTAAGGAGTTAGATTTTGATTGCTTGTCAGTGTAATAGAGAATTGGGAACTTGCCCTACATGAGCTGAGTTTTCTCTGGAGAGGCTGTTACCTTGCTGTGAGAATCTGCTCTCTTAATTTGAAGCAACGCTGTCCTTATTCCTCTATCAAAAAATATTTGTAGATCTTCTGTTTCTTGGAAAATCATAGAATCCCAGACTGGTTTGGGTTGGAAGGGACCTTAAAGCTCATCCAGTTCCAACCCCCTCCCATGGGCAGGGAGACCTTCCACTAGACCAGGTTGCTCCAAGCGTCATCCAACCTGGCCTTGAACACTGCCAGGGATGGGGCACACACAGCTTCTCTGGGCACCCTGTGCCAGTGCCTCAGCACCCTCATAGAGAAGGTGGCGATGTTCCTTTTTATTCTTTTTTTTTTTTTCTCTTTATCCTATTTCAGTATCCAGTCCCTGTTCCCTCCAAAGAAGATATCCTTTAGGACCAGATTTATCATTGCTTTAAAAATCTGAGTAGCTGAAGAAACAATCATCGAATGGTGTTAAAATTGCAGATACTTACAGCTATTAATCAACGTCTTTGCACTATGCAAAGGAGTACATGTAGTTTCACTGGTAAAGAGAAAAGGAGGCTGAGATTAAAACCTCATATGGGAGTTACTACTTTGTTTGAATAAAGATAAGAGACTACACTATGGAGTAAGTCCCAGGAGGTCCCTGCCTTTGGTCTAAACAAAAGTGTTAAATTTGCCTCTTATCTGAGGCTATGGGCTATATAGGCTTGAAACATACAAAAACCTAAGAGCCATTCCATCTCCTGGGCCTTACAGGAGATCTAGGGTCTGTTGTAGATGTTTGTGGGGTTTGTCTGTTGTCTGGGGAGTAACAGCTTCCTCTGAGCAGCAGAAACATAAATCAGCTGATGAGAGTTCTGCTGCTTTTACCCTTGCTCTGCTGCAGAAAACTTTGGTGGTGTTCTTATAAATACCTTAGGGATCTTATTTGGGATGGCTGCCCTCTTCTTTCCATGAGAGATAAATGCAGTGTTTGCAGCATTAGAGTATGCTGAGCATTGTTAATGTCCTATCTCTTCACGTGCTTCTAGGCTTTGCTTTAGGCTGCCTGAACCCTACCCCTTTCTTTAGGTGGAATCAATTCCTAATATCTCTTGCAGTTTCATACCAGGTGGTGATACTGGGGTTGCTCCCAGCCTGACACAGGTGATGGCTCTGCTTTCTCCCCTGCTTTCTATAGTTGTGAGCATGTCAATGAACAAACAAAAGAGCTTTGACTCCCAAACATGAGCTTTTATTTGTCCTACAGCAGGGCTCAGATTGCTTAGGTCATGCTCAGTCAGTGCAGACACTCCAGAGGAGGCTATCCCTGCTTGCCAGAACTTGAATTTTTAATGGAAGCTTGATGTAGCAGATGAGGCCAAACACTTCTGAGGGAGTTGGGGTGAGGAGAAAAAAGCAGAGCAGTATATGCAGCTAGAATCCATCTGGGTTTGCAGCTTGACAGGCTTTTAGACAAATTCGGCCCTGCTGTGGAATCTGTCAGGTATATGGTTAGCTCCTGATGCTTAGTATGCAAATCTTTGATTTTTATTTTCAGCTAAGAGGGAACATGTGAGATTGAGAAGAAGGTTGGAATAAACCATTCTACAGACCTGATTTGGGAAAGCTTTTGTGCTGCTAGGATTACTGATAGAAGGTGTTGGGATGAGTGATAGAGATTTGACCAGACTACAATAACTACTTCTTGTAGTTCTGGTCAATATGTATGTTTTGGCAGGAGTTAGCATGATGTGATGGGGCAGGGAAGCTTGTGGAAGAACTCTAATGCTTTCCTGTTGAGACAACACCAAGGAGGGATTGTCAGCAGCAAAGCAGAAGGGAGATCTGCATGAGAGCTGGAATTGGTGTAGGGGGTAATCACTCAAAGACTATGGTGTCATGATCTCCCTCCAAACAGTGCTTAAGCTCAGGTAACAAGTTACCTATGGATGCTTTCCATCCTTTGATTTTCCCCTATGGGCAGTCAGCTTGCAGCTCTTGCTTTCATACAGTATTTTGTTTGTCCTTTTGGGATAGCTACCTGAGGGAAACTTCAGCAAGCTCAGTTTGCTGGGGCTTTGGGACCAGTGAAAGGCTTCTCTCACAGGCTGTGAATCAGTCCCTTCTTTGTGCTCCTAGCACCATCTGCTGCATTCAGCTGGATTAGGTGAGGAGGGAGGCAGAAGGCATGTAAGTTTATTTATCTTCATTTTAAGAGGCTAAAAAATGGTACATGCTTCTCTGTGGGCTTTACGGAATAGTGGTACAGGTAATGTAGCAGTCTTGATCTTAGACTTTCTCTTCTCTCAGATCCCTAAAGATGAACATATCCTTCGGTTCCTGCGGGCACGGGACTTCAACATCGACAAGGCTCGAGAAATGCTCTGCCAGTCGCTGTCTTGGCGCAAGCAGTACCAGGTGGATTACATCCTCCAGTCCTGGAGGCCTCCAGCCCTCCTAGATGAATACTACACTGGAGGGTGGCATTACCAAGACAAAGGTGAGAAGCTGCCCCTTGTGTTAGAGCATGGGTTGATTATAGGACCTTGTGAGTATCGGCAATTTAAACACTAACAAAGCCACTCACATGTAAATAGCCACTTTGTTTTGATGTAACTTTATTTTCTCTACACAGATGAGGCAGACTAGAGTGAGTCCAAAGCAGCATCAATTTGATAAGGCTGCCTTTGGATGTGATTTTTATCCTTTTAAAATATTTCATATATCAGAAAGAGTGTGACCAGCAGGTCAATGGAGGTTATCTTGCCCCTCTACTCTGCTCTTGTGAGGCCCTACTTGCAGCACTGTGTGCAGTTCTTGTGTCTTCAACATAAGAAGGGCACGGAGCTGTTGAACCAAGTCCAGAGGAGGTCACAAGGATGATCAGGGGACTGGAGCACCTCCCGTATGAAGATAGCCTGAGAAAGTTGGGGCTGTTCAGCCTGGAGAAGAGAAGGCTGCGTGGAGACCTCAAAGCAGCCTTCCAGTATCTGAAGGGGGCCTATAGGAATGCTGGAGAGGGACTCTTAATCGGGGATTGTAGCAATAGGACAAGGGGTTTAAACTGAAACAGGGATGTTCAGGTTAGGTATAAGGAGGAAGTTCTTCCCTGTGAGGGTGCTGAGGCACTGGCACAGGGTGCCCAGAGAAGCTGTGGCTGCCCCATCCCTGGCAGTGTTCAAGGCCAGGTTGGATGGGGCTTGGAGCAGCCTGCTCTAGTGGAAGGTGTCCCTTCCCACAGCAGGGGGGTGGAACTGGGTGAGCTTTAAGGTCCCTTCCAGCGCAAACCATTCCATGATTTCATGTGGCCCTCTCTAATCCTCTTCTTTGGTTATTTTGTTGGGTTTTTTTTTGTTTTTTTTTGTTTTGTTAAGATGGACGACCACTCTACATCCTTCGTCTTGGCCAGATGGACACAAAAGGTTTGGTGAAAGCTTTGGGAGAGGAATCATTGTTGCGACATGTGAGTTGTATTTTCCTTTCTCACCCAAAGTACTCCCATCTCCCTTGGGGTGTTTAGAATGTTATGGAGCGGCAGCAATCTACCTGCCTGACACTGTTCCTGTGTTGTGTGGCTGGCAACTCAAGGTTGGCTTAGTGACGTGACATGGCACAGCTGCTCCGTTTTCCTGCAGAGACAGAAGTGAAGCTTTTGTAATGGTACAGATTGGCCAGAAAGAGGCTTTCCAATAACCTGCAGTTCACCGTAAGCTTTCCATGGCCCTCTCATGTAGCTCAGCTGTAACATTTGAACTTGAGATTGTTCTACTTCATCTTAGATTTTCAGTATCTGTACCTTGTATGATCAGCTCAACTTTTCAGTACAGATGCCTTTTTTAATGTAAACTTTCATTCTGTTTTGTACACTGCAAGTTCTCAAGGTGGTGTGCTTCTAGGTTCTGGTTTTTGAAATAAGATCTGCTGCCTGTCCTGGTTTCTCATACTGAGGCTAACCCCACTCTGTACTGGCTTTCATTTCAGGTTCTGTCAATTAATGAGGAAGGACAAAAGAGGTGTGAGGAAAACACCAACATCTTTGGCCGCCCCATCACGTTAGTACAGTTAATTTTCTTGTATCCTTACAGAGTTTGAACTGACATGTTGAGAAAAACCTTTCTGTGTGAAGGTTTTAGATGATGTCCTAGGATTAAGCTGCAGATAGATGGCAGTGGGTCCATGTTCTGGGCTGTTCCTGGGCTTTGGGTGCTGTATATAGTGGACTTAAATGCTGATAAATTCTACATCTTCATATGAAAGTAAGTATGGATCCTTCCTTATGTCTTTTTATGTCCCATTTCAGATTAATTTAATCTAATATTGGTGATTTTAGTCCAGACCCTTCAAATTCTTTTTTATACAGGAAACTGCCAGTTTCCAGCTTCATTTAAAATATACTTTTTGAATTATTTTTAGGAATAGGCCTGGATGCCTTCATCCTCTTCCACACTGACACCATATGTTCTTGCCTTTGGGCTTGGGTGTCTGTTTTACCTGAAAGCTCAGCCAGATTCAGGCTGTCTCTGCCTGTGAGTGGAGATCTGCTTTTCATTGCAATGCTGCTCTCCCTTGGTGGATTCGCTAGATCCTGTACAGGCTGCAGTGTTCCTGAAATAGTCTGTGGCTCATCAGCTGAGTAGCCACTGTGCAGTGAAGTTCTGACAGGTCTCTTTCCATGTGTTCTTTTAGATCCTGGACATGTCTGGTGGACTTGGAAGGATTGAATATGCGGCATCTCTGGCGGCCTGGAGTTAAGGCCCTGCTTCGGATAATTGAGGTTGTGGAGGACAACTACCCTGAGACTCTGGGGAGACTGTTGATAGTGCGAGCACCCAGGGTTTTTCCTGTGCTCTGGACTTTGGTGGGTGAAATCTGGACTGCAGAATCTTGTGCATGTACAAATAGCTAAATCATCCAGTCAGTGTGAGTTCTGCTTGTTTGAAAGGTTAGGGAAGGAAAAGCTTCCAAGGAACTTGTGGCTTAACTCCTGAAGAGGCCACAGCATCACTACAGAGCAAGCCATAACATGCCTGTAGCTCATTTGGTTGCAGTGGCTGTTGTCCACCAGGGCAGGACAGGATGTCAGAGATAAACTTCAACTCTTCATGCATGCCCACGGTAACCCAAAGTTGGTGAGGTTTTATACTGATGGGAGAAGACAAATGGGGTTTGTTTTTAATCTCATGCTGGAGGACATTGAAGAGTAAGAAAAAATGTGGTTCTGCCTGGTGCCTGATGGCTGTTCTGGCAATGTGAAAACATGGTGGTTAAATTTCTTGTGAGGTTTAGATGTGATGTGGTGACTGCAAGCTTATTTTATGTGAGGTAAAACCCGTTGTGAGATGATACTGTACCCTTGCCATTTGTTACCCTTTCTCTGGGGAATTGGTCTGCTGGTCTGTATTCCTGCTGCAGAGGCCTTCCAGTCTAGAGCCTGAAGCATCCATGTAAGATGGTATAAACATTGTCTCTAACTTCACTCAGTGACATGTCTTCTATCCACTTTCTATTTCAGGTTAGTCCCTTTATCAATGAGAACACAAGACAGAAGTTCCTCATTTATAGTGGGAATAACTATCAGGGTCCAGGAGGGCTGGTCGATTATGTGGACAAAGATGTGATCCCAGACTTCCTGGGAGGAGACTGTATGGTGAGTTTTCCTTCCTATTGTGCAGGTGGAACCTGCAAGCATCCTCCATTCCCTCCTCCTTAATGCCCTGGCCTTCTTCCACTTCTTTCTGAAAGACAGCTAAACCTCTGTTGTGGTGGGGGTACTTCTGCTCTGAGCACAGTGAAGTTAACTTGTGCACAGACTTCACCCTGAAGTGGTGATGTTGCCTTGGAGAAAGGGGATTTGAGGTTAGGTCTACATGGAGCTTAGATAAACTATTACAGTTCATGTAATTAGTTTCACTGTGGAATCTTATACCAGTTGATGGTGTCAGCCTCTGTCTGACAGGCAGTGAGGGTTTGTGGTACAGATGACTTGATACTTTGCCATTAGATTAGTTTAAACCCTCATATTTGTCTGACTTTTCCAGTGTACTGTCCCAGAAGGTGGCCTTGTTCCCAAGTCACTTTATCAAACAGAAGATGAGTCAGAGAACTCGGATCACATCCGGTTATGGACAGAAACTATCTATCACTCTGCAAGCGTCCTCAAAGGAGCTCCACATGAGGTACAAACCAGAACTTCACAAGGCTGCGGGGGGAATATGTTGCAGGCTTGCTGCTTCTGTTAAAGGCCGACTAGAGCAATTAAGTGCTCCCAAAGATGGTTCAGCAGTATGCCTTTCCTGGAAAGGCTAATGCCAGCTAACAGCCAGGAGTGTGGAAGTGAAGAACAGCAATTTGAGGAACAGTGTCTTTTACTTCTACTGTGGCTTCATCTTCTGTAGGATACAGTCTCCTCCTCCTCCTCTGGGGAAATAAAGCTCACTCAGTTTGCCTTCTTGATAGTACAGCTTCTATTCCCAGTGGTGTAGCTGGGACAGCAGTAGTGGTGATTTAAGAAGGTAAGTACTGGGAATGTCCTGATGGGCATCATGAGAAAACAATGTCCGAAAGAGCAGCACTTGAGTGTCAAAGCAGTCCACCAGCTTCACTGATAGTGAGTAACTGACTTGGCCTGCTTGATTCCTTAAAAAGCAGCAGTGCCTTTTGGAGTGCTCTTTGCTATCTGGAATGCTTTGCTGCAGTTCTGCTGAGGCTTTCCAGAGCTAGTAAATTATTTACAAGAAACTTTGATACAGAGGAGGGATGGGGTGAAAACACCTGAGTAGATGTACTGTGGCAGAAGTCTGGTGATGGGAATGGGTTTGTATCCTCCTTAGGAATCCAGACCAATGGCATAACTGAAGGATGGTGGAGAAAAACATCTTTGCAGAGTGGCTGTCCCCTTAGAATCTGACTTTCTACAATGGGCTTGTTTTGTTCCCTTCTTAGATAGTTGTGGAGATTCTGGAAGGGGAATCTGTCATCACATGGGATTTTGACATCCTGAAGGGAGATGTGGTGTTCAGCCTCTTCCACTCCAAACGAGCTCCTGAAACAAGTCACAAAGAAGCCACGTTACCAAGTACCTCTGCTGCTGGGGACAATATGCAGCTGATTGACAAGACGTGGGTCCTTGGGGTGGATTACAGCCATATGGAATCTCCACTGGTTTGCCGGGAAGGAGAAAGCATCCAGGTCAGATGTCTTTGGGTCCTGGCATGGATCTAAGGTGCCATGGTGGCAAGGGGAAGGAATTGATGGCAAGGCAAATCATGTTGTGCTTAGAAACAGTTGTGGTCATTGTTCCCTGTATTCCCTGTGAAAGTGGCTGCTATTGCAGTTCTAATTTAGAGTGAGCAATTGGAAAGAGACTCCATAATCCTGGATAAACTAATTGAAAATAACCTTTTGTCACTAGCCTTAGAGGTGTGCCATGATGTGTGCTCCCCAAAGTAGGCAGCTCCACTAGTTGCTTTTGATTTTGCTAAATTCAGCCATTTCTTAAGGCACATGATAGTCACTTGATGGCACTTTTTCTCTCCCAGGGATCTCATGTCACTCGCTGGCCTGGCTTTTATATTCTCCAGTGGAAGATGCATGGCCCTCCCCCCTGTGCTGCCACCACCCTCCCTCGGGTGGATGATGTTCTTGCCTCTCTGCAAGTTTCCAGTCACAAGTGCAAGCTTATATACTACTACGAGGTGCTTGCATCCAAGGACTTCAGGTAGGAGATGTACTCGGGGGGTCCTACTGTGTGACTTGCAATAGAGAAGCCAGAGAACTGAGTGTGAGTTAAACATTGATATACACGCCCTGTGGAGATCATAGGTTTCACTGATGATAAGTTAGATGGGAACAAACTTAATGGCATTTTGCACAAAGAATCTCCTTTAGTGCTGTAGGTAATAAGAGACCTCTTGGCTGTATGTTCGCAGTAGAATCTGTGCTTCAGTTCTTGCTGACAGCTACCTGAAGAAGGGGGGAGAGTTTAGACTGAGGAGTCTTTATCTTAGGACAATTATGAAGAGTTACTTTTGGGGTAACTTATCAAATACCAGCTGGATTATTTCACACATAGTTCATTTGGCACTTGAGAAAGCTCAGTGGTGAATAGGTGAATGCAACAACACAGGCAGGATTTGCCTGGCTTCTTCTAATGCTAAAAGTACTTCTCCAGTCACCCAGTAACTTAAATTCTTTGTTAAGTACTTGGCCTTTTGCTAGGAGATGGAGGAAGTAGAACAGATTTGCAGGTGGTGGTCTTGAGAATGTGACCTGGCTAGATCCTGTGTAGTTGGAGCAGCAGCAGCAAACTCCTTACTCCAGTCATTCAAACCTGTTACTTGTCACTTGACCTGCATAAAGTATGATGGGAAGAGTAGGCAGTCACAGCTACAGTGAGCCCTGTCTGCTTGGCCAGAAAGAGCTGAAGCCCATGGCTGGACATGCTGAAGTTGAGTCATGTTTAGCAGGCTGGAGTTCCTTGGTTAGCAGTGACAGCTGCATCACTGAGCATTTGGAGTGCTCCTGAGCATTCCTTTCTGTGCAGGGGCAGTGAATGCAGCTCCACAGCAGCTCCAGCTGCATCCTGCTCCCAGAATAATTGCCAGAGATGAGGTGTAGTATGTGTAACATGGAAAATGGATGTCTCTGGCAAATTAATTTGTCGTTATGACATGGAGATTCTTAGTTGAAAACAATGGGACAAAATGTAAAATACTTTTGCGTGTTACAGAGTGCAAGTTGATCTGTCAGATGTGTAGAGTTCTTCATTAATAGCTGCCTTACTAACAAATCTGTATTGTTCCATCCCAGGGGATCCATGTCGAGTCTGGAATCTTGTAACAGTGGTTTTTCCCAGCTGAGTGGAGCCACCACGTTGTCCAGCCAGTCCCAGAGCAGCTCCCATCTTTCTAGATAGCAGGGCTGAGGCTGCAGCAGTAAGGAAGAGTCACCCAGGGCCTCCTGGCCCCCTAGAGCTGCTCTGTGCACCAAACCAAAGAGCCTCCAGCGGCTGAGCATGGAGGCAGTTGTTTGCCTGACCACAGGGAGCAGCCATTTGGACACAGAGAGGCTTCTGGGAGCTGCTGTGAGCATCGAACATTATTCATATGGCAGACTTAGAAATCTTTATATCAGATGTCTACTTCTCAGTAGTCTTTTTCACAAATGGGTTTTGGATGAATGTCAGTTTGCATGAATCTGTGTTATTCCACTTTGAAAGGGCTCTTTCCAGTCAGTCCTTTTCCTATGTAGAGGAGACTGATGTTGCCTTATCTGTTTGCTCTGTAGGACTATTCATGTAGCAAAACAAATCTAGTTTCCTGGGTGCCCAGGGTGGCAGTTACACATCAGAGTGTGAAATGGGCACTTCAAGTGCAAGGACTTAAACTGGAAATTCCTTTATACAGAGAGGATTCTTCAAAAATCAGTTCCAGGGTCAAACCTAAAACCTCTTCTGATTTGACAGGATGCTACTAGGAAATAGGCTGGATTTTTTTTAACCCACTGAGACACAAGTCATAATGGGTTTTGAGAAGGCAATCTGACTCCAGCAAGCAGCATCTTTCTGAAGGACTACTGTTCCTCTTTCCTCAGGTTTATAAGCAATAATGAGTAGATCCAACCTATCTCATCAAAGTGGATGGGAGGTGAATCATTATCAAGGGCTAAGAAAAGCAATATTTTATTTCCTGAAGGCACAGAATTTTATGGCAGTATTATAGACCTTGCTTTATTAAAACACAAGTTAACTTGAAGAGAAAACTTTAAGAAAAGGCATGTATGTATTTAAGCTCTTACTGAAAGGTATTTATTCAAATAATAGCTTATCTAAGTTAATTTTTAACTTATTTGTAACTTCAGAAATGACTATTTATTAAATCCAGTCACCTTTTTTAATGGGAAGAACTTTGTTGTAGAAAGGCATAACTGATTGTCTTCAATCCCAAGAAGTCTTTCTACTGAGATTCTACTCTTTGGGATCGCTGGATGCTCTCTGTTAAGGGCTGTATCATACCCAGCACTTGGGTAAGGGCTGTGTGTTGCTGTCTTCTGCAAGGGGGGGGGGGGGGGGGGGAGGGTTACACTTCAAGGCCTGGGGACTCTGGAGGGATGTTTCTTAGTATTGAGAAGTGAGGATGGACTTAGGAGCTGGAAGAAGATTGTGCATTTTTGACACACCAAAAATACCACCTTTGTCCCTTATCTCCACTGATTATTCCAGAGAACAGATGTGCAACAAAGGCACCAGTAATCCAGTTATCAGGTTGGGTAGGGAAGTTGTGTTCTTGTCTAGGTGTCATCAAAATGGGAATAGGTGTCACATGCTCCATTGCCCTTGGGCAGTGTCTGCAGCTGGCAGAACTTGTGATGTGGACAGATGTTTGCTTTTGAATCCAGCTGTGCTGTGTGAAGACCTCATCCCCGCCATGGAGGTTACCTCTGACAGATCCACTGCCTGCAGAAGGATCAGGAACTGTTGGATCCTGCAGGGGCTGGAGCTACCCCAACCAAGCAGCTCATGTCACATGTGGCCTAACCTGAAGAAGCTTCCAGTCCCCAGCTGGGGAGCAGCACAAACTGGGAGCACGGCTGGTGGTCGAAGTGCAATTCCTTCTCGGGCACAGCTATCCATGCATCACCCATGGCATCTTCCTCAGCAAAGACTTGGTGCTGCTTTCCCTCTCACCAAGCTTTTAAGGCTGGTGGAATCTGTGTGGCCAAGAACAACAGACACATTCCTACTAATCCTTTTTTAATGACTGCTTTGGAAGTACCAGGCGTTGCAGGAGAAGAAAGGAACCCAAATATCTGAAACAATGGGAGACAACTCACTGTGTTCATATGAGCTGTTTGGGTGTTTTCAGGGTTGGAGGCAAGGCAATTGCTCTCCCACCTTGCATCTCACACTGTAAGAGTGGAACAGGTAACTAATGCAGGCCATGGGGAAATTCTGCTTTCAGAGTTCTCCAGGTATTCCCATGGACTTCATTGTTTCTCCCAGGTGAATGAAACTTCTAGCTCTGGCATTACAGCATCATTGGAGTCTGACAGGGGCAAGAGCACTACATTTGCTCTGGAAAATCGAGTACTGGAACTAAAAGCGCATCTATGTATCCCTCATGTCAGATCCTTTACCTGTAACTAATTCTGATGCTAGAAAGTTTCAAATGGACTCCCAAAGCACCAGGAGCAAACCCAGCCTCGCCCTCCCTATGCTGATGGAGGATTTCAGCTTCTTGTGTCATGTCCCATGATGGTGACATTCCAGTTTCCCTTGGCTTGCTCTGGTTAAGAATCTTTTCCATTGCACTGGATTATTATTCTACTCTCAAACATGGCCTGTGCTGTTCTCCCACCAGTAGCTGGGTTAGGTATTTAACTCCTGTCAGTGGGGCACCTGGAGTGAGGCCAGGGCTCTGAAGGAGCCAGGAAGAGCCAGTTGGTTGCAGGGAGTACTCCCTCCTCCTGCCTCCAGAGAAATCACAGCCTCCTTTTTGTCCCTGTTCCTCAGCAGTATCACCCTTCAGTCCAAGAGATTCCAGCTCATGTCTGTTTAGGAGGCAGCTTGTGGTGGCTTCTTTGTCAATTTTAAGCAAAACTGGCTACCAGTGTACTTGGCTACCACTTTCAGTAATCCAGTAGAGATTGCTTTCTTCCTGAATGGTAACAGGAGAAGGCTGGCACCAGCCTGGATGTTGTGGCAGTGCTCTGCTTTTTAAATGTGATTTTGCCCATCGGCACATACAAGAGAAGCAAAATTCTTTCATATCACATTCCCTCCCAACCCTGCCAAAAAAATGACATCAGAAAATAAACCAGGCTCCTTCCTTCACAGCAATCTTTTGTTAGTTGAGATGGGGACAAGTTCAGTGTCCCAGCAGCAGCTCCTTGGTGAGGTCAGTGAGCTCAGGCTGTGTTCAGGTAACGAAATGGAGCTCCAGCTTACTGAGGAGCTTTCCCCTCTTTCCAGTATTCCATATGCAAAACACAACATCTACCTCGAAGAGCTGTTGCCATGGTTCATATGCAATGATGTGGGGCTGTAGGCACAGTGTTGTGCATCAGTTAAGGTTAAGTAGGGCCATGGGTGAAACCTTTATTATTGGCAATTCCTACAGCTTTTCCACATCCTGGCATTTGCTGGATTCCGTTCCAACAGAACAAGGAAAGGCAGACACAGAGTGTGGCACCAGAGGGCAGGTACTGGAGAGGGCCATGAGGCTGGACTGCAGTACTGGCTTCTTATAGAATCCCAGACTGGTTTGGGTTGAAGGGACCTTAAAGCTCATCCAATTCCAAGCCCCTGCCACGGACAGGGACACCTTTCACTAGACCAGGTTGCTCCAAGCCCCATCCAACCTGGCCTTGAACACTGCCAGGGATGGGGCAGCCACAGCTTCTCTGGGCACCCTGTGCCAGTGCCTCAGCACCCTCACAGGGAAGAACTTCTGCCTAAGAGCTCATCTCAGTCTCCCCTCTGTCAGGTTAAAGCCATTCCCCCTTGTCCAAAGCCCCTCTCCAGGTTTCTTGGAGCCCCTTTAGGCACTGGAGCTGCTCTAAGGTCTCCCCTTAAGGAGCCTTCTCTTCTCCAGGCTGAATAAGCCCAGCTCTCTCAGCCTGACTCCAAAGCTGCTCCAGCCCTCGCAGCATCTCTGTGGCCACCTGGTGAATCCTTGTGGCTGAACATTTCCTTCCTTTTATGTTTGAAAAGGGCTTTTCAAACTGCTGGAGACAGAAGTGACAGGCACTGAGGGCACCTCCAGTCGGTTTCGGGGTCTGTTGCACTTGCTGGGTGGGGCAAGAGTGATCCTGCCTGTCCCAAGGGGAGGAAAGCCTGTGTGACTGTGGCTGCTGCAGATCTGCAGAGGCATCAGCTGCAGACACAGGCACAACCTGGTTCCCATCACTCTTGAGGGCTGGGTGGATTTAGGTGTATCGCTTCCCTTTCAGTAAGAGGAAAGCAACTTGTACTAAGAATTTATGATCCTAATTTAATTAAAAGATTTTGAAAAGGCCATCATCGTGTCATCTTAAATCTGTAACACTTAACTGCAGCTTGGGCTTCCTGGTGGGAAGTGGTGAGCCCAGGTGGGTAAGCCTGCTCAACTCAAGGAGTTTGGTCTCAAGAACTAAAACTGGTGATTACTTGCAACCTGTTTGTGATGATTCTTATACCTAATTATTTCCCTCTTGGAAGGGGAAACTGGAATCATGTGCACTGGCTTTTACTGACATCAACATCCACTCCAAGCTATAAATTACACTTAGAAGCTGGGTATTAATTATTTTAGCATCACTTTCTCTCCTTGCAGCTGTCTTATCTATTGCAATCCTGATTTTTCTCAGCTAAAACCCTCCAAGTGCTTTTTAAGAGCCCACCAGCACCACGCAGGAAGCTTTGTACTGTGATCCTGGCCAGCACATGAACGTGGTTACAGTGTCTGGAGGCTTGGGGAGGATCTGAGCATTCCTGTATGTTGGAAATAAAAAACCTCTCTAAAGCACATGGTGAAGTGTTTGATGCAACTGTTCAAGCTGTGGGAAACTCTGAGTGCTGCTCCTTCCCTCCAGCCCTGGGGTAAGGCTGGGTTCAGCCATTTCTGCTTTTTAACTCAACTGTGCTTGAATTTATTCCTGTACAAGTAGCATTTTTTTGTCTGTTTTCCACATCACAGCGCGATCCAAGCCCTCATCCTGCACTGTAGCTGTCAGTTAAAGTAAAAAAGGCCCCAGGGCGTTTGAGTGGCCAACCCCAATGACCTTGGAAAGATTGTGTCCTCCTGCAGCTGAATAGTAAGAACCTGAGCTCCAGGCAGTTACTGTTAATAGACTTTATTCAGGGTTCAAATTGCCTCTGTAAGTAATAGAAAAATAGAATCTTCCATTTACAGGTTGATTTGATGCCAACAGTGGCAGAAGAATTACATAGCCTTTTTCTGAAGAGATGAAAAGCTGCATAAAAATGTTAGTATCAGGCTCAGATGGGCTCTAACCCCCTTGCAGCACCAGAGGTGCACATCTGGGCTGGTTGTCATTCACATGGAAGCAAATTCAAAGCCTAAATGGGTTGTGCAAGGATGTATTCCAGTAAAATACCTGATTCCAGCCGAGGTGCTCAGGCTCTGGGGGCCTGAAGCACTTGTTGGCCGTGGGCTTGTCCTTCTGCTGAGGGAAAGGCAGTTCCAGCAGCAGTGAGCAAGGGCCATTGCCTGTGCCAGGCTGCTGCTCATCACATACCTCCTGTACTACTCCTAGGAGGAAGGATTAGGTAAAACAACATCCCAGCCCTGTGGTCAGCCCAGGCCAGGTTAAGAACATGCTGCCAGCAGCCACCATGCTGTGCTGGCCTTGGAGGCTCCCATGGAGCCAGGAGGAGACTGGAGAATGCTGGTTTATCATGAGCTGCTCTAACAGCCTCCATCAGATGCATCAGTGTTCTGATAAAGTCAGAGCTTAGCAGGGAAGAGCAGACATCTACAGACTGCACCATCCTTAGGCCAGCTTCCTTAAGCCTAGCTTTATACAAAAGGCAATTTATCTTGCACCCTAAAAGCACTTCCTGCTGCTCTAGTGGAAAGGGACCTATCTGAGGTGCCCATGGCTCACATTCCTCACCTGTTTACCTCAAGAAGGGAGGGGAACCAGCCCCTTTCCTTCTGTAGCTGTGGAGTTCCCTTACCCACCTCTGTGTGTGGGCACTGGCCCCAGGGCTCATGCCCTGTGTCCTCTCATGGCAACTAACCACTCCAGCTGGCCCTGGCTGAAGCAGGAGGGGATGGCTGATAATCTGGCCATGTTCTCCACAGGGCTGGGCCAGCAGCAAAGGGAGTTTCTTGGACTGAGGGATCTGCTGCTGCTCTGGCATTAGTCAGGAGTTTTAGATGTGAGGTCAGAACAGCCTCTGAGAGTCAGTACAAGGTGCAGGTAAGATCCCTTGCCTCTTCTTGGCCAGGACTCTAGAGAAGGGCTTGATTCTGGTCCTGAGCATCTTCTGTCTCCCAGGCAGCCAAGGAGGAGGTAGGACTGGCTTCCCCATTAATCTTCCTCAGTGGCTGATAGAGGTAGTCACCACCCTCATGGTGCCTCTCTGACCTGGCCTTGAGGAAAAGGCCAACATTGCCCATGGCACTGATCATGAGCAGCAGAGCCAAGACAGAGGTCGTGGTGATCCAGGTTTTCCTGTGAGACAAGAAAAATGCAGGTGAGCAACACCCCTTGGCCTACCTTCACCAGCCCAGTGTGCAAATGGTTCCACACAAGCTTCTGGTTCTGCTCTTGGGCAGGTGAGACCATGATCTGTGAAGGCCTCTAACAGGCAAATTGTAGAATCCCAGACTGGTTTGGGTTGAAGGGACCTTAAAGCTCACCCAGTCCCAACCCCCTGCCATGGGCAGGGACACCTTCCACTAGACCAGGTTGCTCCAAGCCCTATCCAACCTGGCCTTGAACACTGCCAGGGATGGGGCAGCCACAGCTTCTCTGGGCACCCTGTGCCAGAGCCTCAGCACCCTCACAGGGAAGAGCTTCTGCCTAAGAGCTCATCTCAGTCTCCACTCTGGCAGGTTAAAGCCATTCCCCCCACGGCTGGGTTTACCTTTCCCTCAGTCAGCAAGTGCCCAGCTCTGCCTACAGAGCCACAGCTGCCTCACCCCAGGAGCTGCGTGCTGGTGTGGGACCTGCTCTTGACTCTGTTGCAGTGCGGTGGTGGGAAAGGGAGCTCCTGCCTGACTGGAGGCACAAGTTCTCACTGATGGGAGCCTCAGCTCAGCACCTGGCTGATAATGAAGACTTTAGCACCTTCCCTTTCCCATCAGGAGAGCTGTGGGTACCACAGAATCCCAGTTCTAGTGGAACCTGACCACAGGTGGTTTGGGCTGTGAAGGGGCAGGTCTTGGAGCTGCCCTGGCACCCAGGAGGTGGTGTGGACACCTCTACCTCACAGTGAGCAGCTGCTGGCATGGACTGTGTGTACATATACATGTATGCTATGAGTATTACAGACTTACTCTGACAGAGAGAATTTTTCTTTGCTCCTTCCTTTACTCTGGGAAGCCAAACACTGTTCAGCTGTAAACAAAGAACAGAGGGAAGAAAGGCAGTGTTGGAGGAGGCTGTAAAACTCTGCCAAGAACAGGCAAGCTTAAGTCAGGGCACAGCTACACAGAGCTGATAACTGGGCAAACACAATGTTGGACACCTAAATGCTCTTCTGATTTTAAAGCCACAAGCCCTGACCAGATGTACCTTTGTTTAACTCGCTGGAGGTGATGTTGCAGCTGCCCGTCTCCGGGTCACAGGGACATAAGTGCTCACAGGGACATCGTTCCTGGCAGTTTGGCCCATACCAGCCCACTGGACACTCTGGGGAGTTGAGTACAAAGAAGCTGGTCATTGTCAAACCTTCACCTGCCTCCAATCCCCCATCTGTCACTGCAGCTGCCCCAGCATAGCCCCGACTGCCTCCCCGAGCTCGCTGCTCAGCTTCAGGCCACATCTCACCAAGGTGTTTGTGTTGCTTCTGCCTCTGCAGCAGCCTCTGGGCTTGTAGAAGCACAACAAGGTGGTTTTCCCTTTTCCATATCTGCCCTCCAGCCCTGCTGCATGGCTCAAAAGGCGCAGCAGGGGCATCAGTGGCTGGTTCCTACAGGGAATCAAGGGCTTGTGCCTGTGCACTAGCAAGTGGAGGCCTCTGTGGCTGAGTCTCAGGTTTCCTGCAGGCTGCCATGGCTGTTCCACCTGCGCCAGCCCCTGAGTTCACTGCCGCTGCAGTTTGTGTCCAGGAGGAGTTTAGGTAAAAGGGATGGGGCTGGCTGAGTGTTCAGAGGCTGGGAACAAAGTGTCACTAAAAGTACTGCACACACAAGAACTTTACACCCACACTGTAATGAAGTGGTGCTGTCACCAGAGCCGGCTGCTCAGTCAGATACATGGTGGGCTCGAGTACTGCAGCAAAGCTGGAGTGGTTACACCATGGAGAACATCACCAGCTCTGGTAGCACTAACAGGTGTAAAGCTGGAGGTGGAAGGTTATAAGCCAGAACAGCTCTTTGGACCATTTCACAGTCATGGACTGGGGTCACTTGAAGCCCAGCTACAGGCAGGGAGCAGTGCAACACCCTCAAGGGAAGGATGCCAAGTATCCATGTTCTACCCTCATGAACTTTGGGGAAACAATGCTATTCTCTGGGGCAGAGAGGAAGGAATCCACACTTCTCTAACAATGAAGAAAATTCCTCCCTCTCTGCTCCCTCCTTTCCCTTCTAGCCAGCCTGGGTAGCACAGGGAAGCCCCTAAGACCTGGGAGCTGGCAGCTCACGCTCCAGCTGTGAAGCCCTCAGCCTGCCTGGCAGAGCTCACCTTTGCTTTGCCTACACGAGGTGGCTGAAAGGCAACACAAACCCCTCTCCCAGCCCTCACCTTGCTCGCAGCTGGTGCCGTGGTAGCCAGCTGGGCAGGAACAGGCTCCATGCACAGGATTGCATGAGCCACCGTTCTGGCATAGGCATACCCAGCCACAAGCAGCCCCATAGAGTCCGGGAGCGCAGGCTGCAGGAGACAAGCAGAGGGGTCATCAGGGCCCTCACTTAAAGCCAAGCAAGCCCAGCCATGCTTACACCCACCACCAGTCACACACAGCTGACGGCTGCTCAGAGAGCAGAAGCCGAGTCTGTGCTGCCTTGAACAAGGAGCCAGGGCTCCAAAAGCTTTGCCCCAAGCCACCTTTCAGATGCTCAGACTGTAGTTAAAATCATGCTGCCAAAAAAGCGCAGCACACTGCGTAGCCTTTCCCTTCCTGCTCCCTCTTGGGGAACCCCCAGCCTGCCACTGCAGGTAGCCAGCTCTTGGGAAGTACTGCACACGTGCTGCCAAGGAAGCAGTGGAGTAGAAGTCAGTGTTACCTTCGCTGCAGTTGCTTCCCATCCAGCCAGCATCACACAGGCATCCAGCTGTGCAAATACAAACAGGCATTAGCAATAACAGAGAAAGGCTTGGAAATAGCAAGAAATCAAAATTAGAAGCCTCTGCTTCTGGGGTTCCCTCTTAACTCTCCCTGCCAGGGAACCCAGGGAAGAGGAATCCTCAACTCACAGATTAAGCTCAAATATGCACCCACTGCAGATGCCAAATGCAGCAGAACCTCCCACTCTTGGGTCTGAGATACTAACTTAGGGTCAGCAACACTGAGCTCTGCTCAGTCACTTCCCAGTACTGCACTGAGTGTGGAACTAGGGAGGCAGCACAGAAATGGGAGAACAAGACTGAACAGCCACAAAGAGCAGGAGCTGGGGGTGAACATCACAGCAGTCCCTAGAGTCAAAGCAAGTTCATGACAAAGTAGCAACTGCACACTTGTAAAAATCATGAAGCAGGAGAGTCAATTAAAGAAGGAACAAGGAGAGAAGGGGGCAGAGCTCAGTGTTAATACACTGCCCTCCACATCAGCAGGTTTACAAACAAACCAGGAGCAAAACCCAGGGGGCAGAAAGGGGAACAGAGACAGTGAGTTTGAAGCTCAGCCCTATTACAGGTCCAGCTTTCAGAGCTGAGTCCCAGCCCTCCTACAGCCTCCAAAGGCAGGATGTTCCAACTGGCTGTACTGCTGCTTGGGATGCTAGCGGGGAATGGCAGAGCAGCTCAAAACACAGCAGGTCAGACAAGGGCTAAGGCACCCAGCACTAGCTGGTTTCCAGCGCATGGGCTGGCCACACATCTGCACCTCCAGCCCCCAAAAGGCTACGCCCGACAGCCCCACCTCTCCAAAGAGGCAAAGGAAATGGCTGTGGCTGATGCCAGTTCCACACTGCCAACACTTCCACACAACAGTGTGTGAACTTTTGAGCAACATTTCCGCACATCAGAGCAGGAAAGGGCTGTGGGAAGCAGCCAGGGCTGTGCATGGTGATGTGCTGAGGCTGCCTATGGTGCCACACAGGCAGCTGAGCGATATCCCTCAGGGCTGTGCTTCCCCTGGAGCTACCCACAGGCACCCACTGGCATCTATCTCAGTGTCAGAAGCACCACAGGGACTCACAGTCGGTGCAGACGCCATGCAGGCTGCAGTTGGAAGGACCACAGTCCAAGATGTCACAGGCTGGACCTCTCCAGAAGGCCCCAGTGCAGCGGCACTGCCCCTGCACACAGGTCCCGTGGCCACTGCAGTCTGTGGGCTCACAGCTGGGCTCGTGGATGCACACAATGGTCGAGATGTTCCGGGGGCAGCGCCACATGCTGTCAAAGGAGCTGGGGAGAGATGAATCCCCTGAGGCATGCAGGCATTGTGTTGCTCCCAGCCCTGCACAAAACCAGCTGATCTAATCCACATTTTCATCCCAATTCACGCTGACAAACACTGATAATGGGAAAATACAAATGTAAAACGGATTGAGTCAATGTCTTAACTAAGTGTTGACTCCTATGGGATAGAAGTCATGTCAAATACAGCATTACAGACAGCAACATGCAAAGTCTCCTCTTAAGCAGCCACAACTTCCCCAACTTTGGCCTTTCCTTGAATATTTTCTGCTTTGCTATAGGTGATATCATTGCAGTTATAATGACACTTTGGCTTTCTTGTGTAAGGAAGCTCTTCCCTGTGAGGGTGCTGAGGCTCTGGCCCAGGTTGCCCAGAGAAGCTGTGGCTGCCTCATCCCTGGCAGTGTTCAAGGCCAGGTTGGATGGGGCTTGGAGCAACCTGGTCTAGTGGAAGGTGTCCCTGCCATGGCAGGGGGTTGGAACTGGATGAGCTTTAAGGTCCTTTCCAACTCAAACCAGTCTGGGACTGTATGATTCCATTCTATGAACTGTCAGACTGCAAACTAAATTTTAAATTCCTTTGTGTTTACAGTCAGAAATTACTAAAAAGCTAAATCAAAAGTAAAATATTCTTTAGGTTCCCTCACATGGGGCAGGGCAGGGTCTCCAAGTCAGTGTTTCTCTTCCACAATAATAAGCTATTGACAGATCTGCACATGCAGCTCTGAGTCTCCCAGTCTAAGCTGTTCCTTATGTGATTCCCACATTGGACCACTCAGTCATGGCAGCAGCTTTGCTGTATGTCTGAAAACAGCTAAACTGTAATCCTGTGTGACTAAGTGGAAAAAAGATCACTAAATGACTTTACAGTCTCTGTCCCTCAAACCCTGTCCCTTGTGCAATGCTGCAAAGCAGGGGCAAGGGCCGAGCTCTGCACCCTGACAGGAGCTGTGGGGTTCCTGTGTCACAAGCACCTACCAGTGCTCAGAGGGGTAGCTTGCCAGGGTCCCGTTCAAGACCAGAGTGGCAGAGCCTCCCCCGTCCAGGTTGATAGCATTGATGAGTCCCTGCTGCTTCAGAAATTCAGCCATTTCCCAGAGGTTGACCCTGCAAAAGCAAACACTTGTTCATTGCTCAGTTTGACTGCAATGAAACTGCTCTACAAGGAGCTTGGTCCTTCTCCTCAGTGGAAGGGGGAAGCTCCCTCTCATCCCACTTAAGATGACTTGCTGCCTGGAGGCTGCACTGGCCTCTTCTGTCTCTGCCCGAAAGACACCAAACAGCAGCGCCTTCAACTTCAGCTCTGCAAGTCACCACCTTAAAACACATCATTGGCAGCTGCAGCATCCCTCATGTTCCACTGACGGGATATAAAGACCCATCTTGCACCTGCCCCAAGACCCTTCCCCAGCCCTGGCCTTACCCTCTGGATTCTGTCTGTCCATCCACATGAACCAAAACCAGCTGCCCCTGACTGTCGTGTCCAACTGCAGTCCTGGCTGATATCACATTGATGAACTTGTCAAAGGTTCCTGTGAGGAGAGGGAGTAATTCACACACCACCTGGGTGACAGAACTGGCTGTTGAGCCAGATTTGGCTGTGAAACAGCTCCCAGCAAGGAGCTTGTCTGAACTGAAACATGAGAACAGAGCTGAGGTTCCTCTTGATCATCCAAGCTCATGAGAAGCACAACCCATGCCCAGGCTGAAGCCAGGCACTGCAGGATTTACCTGTGGTTTGAGTGTCACTGCACTCAGCCAGTTGGCTCTGACTGATGTACACTTCTCCACCTCTCAGGAGCCAAACTACCCCGCTCACGAGCTGCACGAAAGGGTTTGCTTGATCCAAGACATCTTCCTCAGACAGGTAACTAGGAAAGAGAGAGCAGGATGAGGAACGGATCGAGTGCACTCTCAGTGAGTGTGCAGACAGCACCCAGCTGGATAGAAGTGCTGGTCTGCTTGAGTGTAGGAAGCTCTACAGAGGGATCTGCCCAGGCTGGGTCCATAGGCTGAGGCCAACCGTATGAGGCTCAACAAGGCTCAGTTCCAGGTCCTGCACTTAGGTCACAACAACCCCATGCAAAGTTCTAGGCCTGGGGAACAGTGGCTGGAAAGCCGCTTGACAGAAAATAACCTGGGGATGCTGGTCAGCAGCAGCTGAAAACAACCCAGCTTGTGCCCAGGCAGTCGAGAAGGCCTGGATCAGCACCAGTCTGGCAGCAGGGCCAGGGCAGTGATCATCCCCCTGTACTGGGCACTGGTGAGGCTGCACCTCAAATCCTGTGTTCAGTTCTGAGCCCCCCACTGCAAGAGAGACATTGAGGTGCTGGAGTGAGTCCAGAGAAGGGCAACAGAGCTGGTAAAGGGTCTGGAGCACAAGTGTGATGAGGAACAGCTGAGGGACCTGAGGGGTTTAGTCTGGAGAAGAGAAGGCTCAGGGGGGACCTTCTTGCTCTCTACAACCACCTGAAACGAGGTTGTAGTGAGGTGTGTGGGGGTCGGGCTCTTCTCCTGAGTAACAAGTGATAGGATGAGAGGAAACAGCCTCAAGTTGTGCCAGGAGAGGTTTAAACTGGTATTTGGGAAAATTTCTTTGCCAAAAGGCTTGTCAAGCTCACGCAGGAGCTGAGGGCTGTGGGTGAAGATCAGAGCTCTGACAGAGCCGTGTGGGTGCTAGCACGGTGGGTGCCTGCCACAGGCTGCCTGCTCAGGAAACAGAGGGTGAGACCTTGTTCAGAACACTGGAAAGAGCCTCATGTTCATGGGCCTGGAACTTCTGGGGGACTTTAACCATCCTGTCACCTGCTGAAAGGGCAACGCAGCAGAGCACAGGCAATCCAGGAGATGTCTGGATTTCTGCTTAACAGTGACCAGCTTAATGTGAGACAGTTTTTTACTGTCAAGGTTGCTCAATCACAGGAACACATCTGCCCAGCCAGGTTATGGAGTCTCTGACCTTGGAAATGTTCAAAACATGATGGGACATGACCCTGAGCAACCCGTTCCAGCTAAGCCTGTGCTGAGCAGGGTGTTGGATGAGACATCTCCATAGTCCCTAACAATCCCAAGGTTTCTGTACTGCATTCTGCCTCTCCTCTGTGGGGAGGAGAGAGACCTCTCCCCCTTTTACCATGATCTCTGCTGCGTGTTGGGAGGGGAGACACAGGAACCTAAACAGACAGAGATCATCCAAGTACCTGACCCAGCTTCTCTTCATCCTGGGAAAAAAGGCCAATGGCCAGAGAGAGCTCCATGGGGCACAGGTAGGACAGCCCTCATTTCAGCACTGAAAGCATTCTTCTCCTCTAACTGGGAGAGGCCAAAGGGGCAGTGCCAGGGCTGCCTGCCTCAGTGATGCCTACCAGTCCTTAGGGAGAACACAGCACTCTATAGACAACCTCAGGTTCTTACCCGAACACCATGGTGCCGTCCTTCCGGATACCAAACTGGGCGTTCTGCAGACCTCCTGAGTTCCTCACCAGCTTCCCATCACTCACAACGTTCCCAAAGCACTCTCCAGTTCCCATGTCAAAGTACCCGCCATTCTGGGCCACCAGACACCTCCCAAGCCTTGCGGTCTCTTCCACAGTTGCCCTGCGGTGCACCTGGCAGCCGCCTGTGCCACCCGGCTCCAACACAGAGAAGGTCCTCAGGGGGTTCCTCACAAAAGTGAAGTGGCCATAGACCGCCCTACGGTCCTCACCCTCCGGGGGGATGTAAGACACAAACGTTCTGGTGGTGGCCACCGGGCCACGCGTGCTGTTGTCGCTGGGCCAAGCTTCGTGTGTTACGTTGCCGTACTTGAGGGGCTGACAGTCTCTGACGTGCCTGTGGCTGTGCTGGGGGCCGTGCGAGGCAGGAAAGTAGGGCTGCAGCACAGGGTCCACCGGGGAAATTCTGCAAGGAGAAGATCTAGTTGTCCCAAGGCTGCCCCGGCCAAGCGTGTCTGCGACCCTGCATGGTGGGGAAGGCCTCGCCGCCATCCCTTGTCCCCAGGATATGCCGGTATCTCTGTCATTCACCCCAGCGTAAGGGGTCCTGCCCCGCTTCTCACCCCCCAGCCAAGCCCACGTCAGGGCACTGGCTCGGCGATGCCGGGCCAGAGCCCCAGGACAGGAGCAGCAGAGCGGGAAGGGACCCTTCACACCGGGACTGCAAAGCTGGCACCGCCCCGGGCACCCGCGCGGACACTCACCCGGCGCCGCGCACCGCCTGCAGCCAGCCTAGCAGCGCCAGCGCCGCGGCCGCCACTGCCCGCCCCATCGAGACCGAGACCGAGACCGAGACTAGCCTTCGCGGCCATCCGCGGTCCCCAACCGCACTGGAGGCCGCCATCTTGGAGGGCGCAGGCAGCGCGCCCCCTGCCGGCCGGCGGCGGTGCAACCCTAGCGGGGGCCGCTTAGCGCCGCGGCCGCAGCTCGGCACGGGGAGCGCAGGACGGAGGGAGGGGGGGGATCCTGCCCCTGGGCTCCGCTGTGGTGGGAACCCCCCTACAGTCCTGATCCAGCTCGGGGGCAACAGCACAAGAGGGACGTGGAACTGTTGGAGAGAGTCCAGAGGAGGCCATGGAGATGCTGTGAGGGCTGGAGCAGCTCTGCTCTGGAGCCAGGCTGAGAGAGCTGGGCTGGTTCAGCCTGGAGAAGAGAAGGCTCCTTAAGGGGAGACCTTAGAGCAGATCCAGTGCCTAAAGGGGCTACAAGAAACCTGGAGAGGGGCTTTGGACAAGGGCCTGTAGGGACAGGACAAGGGGGAATGGCTTTAACCTGACAGAGGGGAGACTGAGGTGAGAAGTTCTTCCCTGTGAGGGTGCTGAGGCGCTGGCACAGGGTGCCCAGAGAAGCTGTGGCTGCCCCATCCCTGGCAGTGTTCAAGGCCAGGTTGGATGGGGCTTGGAGCAACCTGGTCTGGCGGAAGGTGTCCCTGCCCGTGGCAGGGGTTTGGAACTGGATGGGCTTTAAGGTTCGCTCCACCCCAAACCAGCCCATACGATTCTCTATCACCCGGCTCCTACCTCTGCTCTCTCACGAGTCTGACCCCACCTTCTTATACCGCACAGCCGCAAGGGGGCGTCCCGCCACCTCTTTCCTGCCTCTGGCGCAGCAAAATGGCGGCGGGTGGTGGGATGTTGCTGCTGTTGCTGGCGGCGGTGGCGGCGGTACTGACGGCACTGACGGCACTGATGGCCTGGCTGTGGCGGCGGCGGCAGGTAGCGGCGGGCGGCGCGGGGCGGGTGTGCGTGGCGGTGCTGGGCGACCTGGGCCGCAGCCCGCGGATGCAGTACCACGCGTTGTCGCTGGCCCGGCACGGACGTGACGTCGCGCTGTTGGGCTACCTCCGTGAGTGAGGGGAGCGGGGGAGGGAGCCTGAGGGGACCCTGCCGCGGCGGCCGGGCACGGGCAGTTCGGTAGCGGGGGTCACTCCTCTGACGGGTCTCTCCCATCTGGCAGAGAGCAGGCCGCACGGAGACGTGTTGCGGAGCGGGAGGATACGGCTGGTGCCCGTGACGGACCTGTGCGGTCTGCGAGGTGAGCGCGGGGCGGCCCCGGCGCTGCGGCCGAACGAGGGGGGCTGGTGTTCGGGAGGGGAAACGTGGTTTAATGGGGGAAAACCAACAACCAAGGTAGGGGTTAGGCCTCGTTGCCGGCGGCCTGTGTGGGTCTGCACGTTCTTGGTGCGTTTTTTTATAGAGCACGGTTAATTTAAACCTTTCTGGTTCTGTTACAACGTGCCCGGAGAGCTGTTAATATTCTTACAGGGTTTTTTGTCCTTTCCCAGTTGGTCCAAAGCTTTTCCAGTATGTTGTAAAAGTCGTTGTGCAAGCAGTGCAGTTACTATACGCGATGCTGAAGATAGATCAGCCATCCTATATTCTTCTCCAGGTATGTTTTGGGGCTAATTTTGATAAATACTGCCACATTACAGGGTATTTTTAGCAGTCTCAGACACATTCTATTTATTTGAGAGCTACAGCTGGCCTAAGGAATGGTGTAAATCTATATCAGGTGATATTTTTTGCTCTAAACGTGGATTTTCTTGTTAACATCTCATGTTTGTTCTTTGGTTAGCTGTTGATCTTTCAAACTTCCTTAGCATGGATAGTAGTAAAGAATAAATCTTAATAGCAATACATATGTAATTATTAGAGGGGAATGTTGATCCTGATCCAGCAGTAAAATTCAAAGTACCCACCAGTCCATATAGGAGAAACTGGCAGTTCTGTACTTGGTGAATACAGAATCTTTCATTAAGATCATTTAAAGCAATGTAACCTCAGTCATTTTTATTTTCCTGGTAACTGCTTAGTGGTTGTCACTGAATCTCACTTTTATGCTATTTTGACTTGATTTATTCCTTAAACAGAACCCTCCAGGCTTACCTGCCATAGCTGTGACCTGGCTAGCATGTCTCTTCTGGAGAAGCAAGCTGATCATTGATTGGCACAACTATGGATACACTGTAATGAGTCTGAGCCATGGAAGAAATCACCCGCTGGTACAAATTGCAAAATGGTTTGTACAGTTATTTCTTCTTGTCTTTGTAAGTTACATACCTTGCTGAATTCATAAGGATGAAAAACAGCTGGGAGAATATGTTGATATTCTAATGGCTTTAATCTGCAAGAGGGGAGATTGCGATGAGATTTTAGGCAGAAGCCTAAGCCTCACCCTATGAGTTTTAGGGTACCTTCAGTCCAAACGAGTCTGTGAATGTATTAGCAGAGGCCTGGTTTTGTGAAGGATTTCTGGATTGTGCTGTGTTAAACTACTCTGTTTCAGAAAGCAGGTTCCATGGAATGCGTTTGTCAAGCATGTAGTAAGGTGATCTGATGAAGTAGGCAGTTGCTTTTATGTGCATGTGCAGACTTTGATCTTGTTATTATAATTTATTTATATGTACTGTGTTTTTTTTTTTATTTACTCTCTAATGCTGCTTTACAGTCCAGCTCATCTTTAAATGTCTGTTTCTTGCTGAATCTAGTTGATTTTATGTAAAGGCTTTAAAGGCTTTTGAGTGTGGTGTTCTTAGGCCTTAAAAGGGTAAGAAAATGATGCTGCATCCCTTCTCATAAACTGATCCTGCCTCAGTACAAGGAGTCAGTCAATAATTGGTTATTAAATTGCAGTTACTGGAGGCAGTTGGGTTTCTTTTGGTTCTGTTTGGCTTTGCATCAGCATGTGCCATGGTGGGCAGTTGTTAGGCTGATACAGTTGCCTGCCTGTGATATTTCTAACTATGATTTCATGTCTGTCAGGTATGAAAAGCTTTTTGGACGTTTGTCTGACTATAACTTGTGTGTCACTAATGCAATGAAAGAAGATCTCTGGGTGAATTGCAACATAAAGTAAGTCACACACCTCTAACGAATGAGTATGCAAAGTAAAATGAAAGAACATATTCCTGACAATTCTGGATCCAGAGGAATCATACAAAAGCAACTTTCCTAAGCTCATGCATCAGCACTGAAACACATCACCTCAGTTTTGTATGGGGTTGTGGAGTGGGGGCATTCAAGAATCTTCATTACTCTTCATAATTCCACCCAGTCAGTTGCCTGAACCTATAATAAATGCTTGGAGCACTGTAGAGTTATCCCAGCTGCTCCAGCCAATGAGCCGGCTTCAGTTGGAGCTTGGCTCAGATGCCTCTATACAAATGCCCGTAGCATGGGGAACAAACAAGAGGAATTAGAGATGTGTGCACGTCTATGGGGGTATGATGTAATAGGCATCACAGAAACATGGTGGGATGGCTCCTATGACTGGAGTGTTGGAATGGAAGGTTACAGGTTCTTTAGGAAAGACAGGCCTGGCAGGTGGGGAGGGGGAGTTGCCCTTTATGTTAGGGATAGGCTGGAGAGTATGGAACTCTGTCTGGGGACAGGTGAGCAGTCAACAGAGTTTGTGGGTCAGGGTTAAAGGGAATATAGCTATGGGAGACATTACGGTGGGGATCTGTTACAGACCTCCTGATCAAGGAGAACCTGTGGATGAAGCACTCCATAGACAGATAGGAAAAGCCTCACGCTCGCAGGCCCTTGTTCTCATGGGTGACTTCAACCAGCCTGACATCTGTTGGAAGGATGGTACGGCCCGGCACAAGCAATCCAGGAGGTTCCTCGATTGTGTAGAAGACAACTTTCTTCTGCAAGTAATAGAGAAGCCAACAAGGAGAGGTGCCATGCTTGACCTCATGCTCACCAACAGGGAAGGGCTCGTTGGAAATGTGACTCTCCAGGGCAGCCTTGGATACAGCGATCATGAGATGCTTGAATTTGAGATCCTCAGGACAGTGAGAAGAGCGTGCAGCAAGCTCACTGCCCTGGACTTCAAAAGAGCAGACTTTGGCCTCTTCAGGAACCTGCTTTGGAAGGTTCCATGGGATACAGCCCTAGAGGGCAGAGGGGCCCAAGACTCTTGGTTGATATTCAAGGATCACCTGCTACAAGCTCAGGAGTGTTGCATCCCAACCAGAAGGAAGTGCAGCAGGAGGGCCAGGAGACCTCCTTGGATGGATAAGGAGCTCCTGAGGAAAATTCAAATGAAAAAAAGAGGCTTATAATAAGTGGAAGCAAGGACAGGTGGCATGGGAAGAGTACAGGGATGTTGTCCGGGAAGCTAGGGACCAGGTTAGGAAAGCTAAGGCCCAGTTAGAATTAAACTTAGCTAGAGGTATTAAGGATAACAGGAAAGGATTCTACAGGTACATAGCAAATAAAAAACAGACTAGGGAGAATGTAGGCCCCCTCAGGAAGCTCTCAGGAGAACTGGCTACACAGGATTTGGAGAAGGCTGAGGTTCTGAATGACTTCTTTGCCTCGGTCTTCACTGGCAAAGGCTCTGACCAAACCACCCAAGTCTTGAAAGGCAGATGCAGGGACTGTGAGAATGAAGACCTTGGGCCCACTATAGGAGAGGAACTGGTTCGAGACCATCTTAAAAATCTGAATGTGTACGAGTCCGTGGGTCCTGATGAGATCCATCCGTGGGTCCTGAAGGAGCTGGCAAATGAAGTTACGAAGCCGCTGGCCATCATATTTGAGAAATCATGGCAGTCAGGTGAAGTTCCTGATGACTGGAAAAAGGGAAATACAACCCCCATTTTCAAGAAGGGGAAAATGGATGACCCGGGGAATTACAGACCAGTCAGTCTCACCTCTGTGCCTGGCAAAATCTTGGAGCAGATTCTCCTGGATGGCATGTTAAGGCACATGAAAAACAACAAGGTGCTTGGTGACAGCCAGCATGGCTTCACTGAAGGGAAATCCTGCCTGACCAACTTGGTGGCCTTCTATGATGGGGCTACGGAACTGATGGACAGGGGTAGAGCAGTTGATGTCATCTACCTGGACTTGTGTAAAGCGTTCGACACTGTCCCACACGACATCCTTGTCTCTAAATTGGAGGGACATCAATTTAATGGATGGACCACTCGGTGGATAAGGAGCTGGCTGGATGGCCGCACACAAAGAGTTGTGGTCAATGGCTGGAGACCAGTAACGAGTGGTGTCCCTCAGGGATCGGTGTTGGGACCGGTCTTGTTCAACATCTTTGTCGCTGACATGGACAGTGGGATTGAGTGCGCCCTCAGCAAGTTTGCCGATGACTCCAAGCTGTGCTGTTCTGTCGTGGTTTAAACCCAGTCAGGTAACTTGTTCACTCACTCCCAGTGAGTGGTGCCGAGCTGACAACAATCGAGGTCCGTGTCCGTCTCCCCCCCACCCTGCACTGGGGCTCTCCCCTTCCCCGCTCCCGGAGGAACGGGGAGGAGGATCGAGAGAGTGCAACTCCTACGGGTTGAGACAAGAACAGTCCAGCAACAAATCACCACCGCTACTATCAGCTAAAACAATGATAAGGGAAAATAACAAGGGAAGAGAATACGATACCACCGGCCAAGAAAGCGAGTTCCACCCGGAAGCCCCTGTCCTTCCGGGTAACTCCCAGTTACCCCCCACCCCGGGCATGACGTGCTGTGGTATGGAATACCTCCCCGGCTAGCCCGGGTCAGGCGCCCCGTCTCTGCTTCCTCGCAGCTTCCCCTCCTCCCTGGCAGAGCATGAGCCTCACAGAGTCCTTGGTCAGGGTAAACATCACTTAGCAACAACCGAAAACATCGGCTTCACCAACACTGTTCTCAAACTAGAAGTCAAAACACAGCACTGCACCAGTTAACACAAAGGAAAAACATGACTGCTACTGCTGAACCCAGGACAGGTTCACTCGATACGCTGGAGGGAAGGAATGCCATCCAGAGGGACCTTGACACACTTGCAAGGTGGGCTGATGAAGTTTAACCATGCCAAGTGCAAGGTCCTACACCTGGGTCGGAGCAATCCCAGGCACAGCTACAGGTTGGGCAGAGAAGAGATTCAGAGCAGCCCTGTGGAGAAGGACTTGGGGGTGTTGGTTGATGAGAAAATGAACATGGGCCGGCTTCAGTGTGCGCTTGCAGCCCAGAAAGCCGACCGTATCCTGGGCTGCATCAAAAGGAGCGTGACCAGCAGGTCGAAGGAGGTGATCCTGCCCCTCTACTCTGCTCTCGTGAGACCTCACCTGAAGTATTGTGTGCGGTTCTGGTATCCTCAACATTAAAAGGACATGGAACTGTTAGAACAAGTCCAGAGAAGGGCCACGAGGATGATCAGGGGACTGGAGCACCTCCCGTATGAAGACAGGCTGAGAAAGCTGGGGCTGTTCAGCCTGGAGAAGAGAAGGCTGCGTGGAGACCTCATAGCAGCCTTCCAGTATCTGAAGGGGGCCTATAGGGATGCTGGGGAGGGACTCTTCATTAGGGACTGTAATGATAGGACAAGGGGTAATGGGTTAAAACTTAAACAGGGGAAGTTTAGATTGGATATAAGGAGGAGATTCTTTCCTGTTACTGTGGTGAGGCACTGGAATGGGTTGCCCAGGGAGGTTGTGAATGCTCCATCCCTGGCAGTGTTCAAGACCAGGTTGGACGAGGCCTTGGGTGATATGATTCAGCATAAGGTGTCCCTGCCCCTGGCAGGGGGGCTGGAACTTGATGATCTTAAGGTCCTTTCCAACCCTAACTGTTCTATGATAATTAACACTGCATTGATGAGAAGGTGGCAGGCTGGGGGTTGTGGATGTTTGCTCCCAAGCTCCTTAGAATCAGAATGAAGCAGACATCACTGCATTTCTTAACACTTAGTCTGCCCTACAAGTTTTTGTTTTGCAGTCAGAAGGCTTTAAGATCCAAGTTGCTCAGGATCAGTTACCAAGTAAGTTGAAAAGTCAGGACTGTGATGCCTGCAGTTCTTACAGTTGCATTACACCCCTTGGATGTGCACAGGAGAAGGGGGCCTTTGTACAATTGTATGTCCCCCTGGGTATATCCCAGCAAACTTCAGGAATACAGAAAATTGTCAGACTCAAAAATCAATGATTTTGCTGGTTGATTTACTTAATTACCTTCTGCGTTACCCTGTTGTAGGCTGTCACTGCACCATATATATGTTGTTACATGTGTTCTTTACTGAACTTGTGAATTTATTCCATCTCAGGGCAGTAACGCTCTATGACAAGCCAGCTGCTTATTTTAAGGAAACACCATTAGAACTTCAACATCGTTTGTACATGAAACTTGCTGAAGACTATGAGCCTTTTAAACCACGGTATGTGTAAGTCAAGTGTGCAGTTGCAGTCCTTAAAGGGATAACAGAGTCATTGCACTGAGTTACCAGAAACACTGTTGCATGGGGTCAGGAGTCACTGAGCACCAGTAGGCAGAGTGGACTCTGTGCCCTTAGCCAACAGCTGCTTCTGTGCAAGTTACCTTCATTGTCCTTAGGAAAGGCCAGAGTAAGTGAAATCCTTGAACTGTGGTAACACAGTGCTTGGCGTGTGAAATAACAGAAGTGTTTGATTTTCGAAGCAGTTGGCAGAAGCACTGAGGCAATCTGTAGTAGGATCTCTCTAGGGTGGACTTAGCAGTTGTCTAGTTCCCATTTTGCTGGGGGACAGTGGCTGGCTTCATTTGTAGTATCCCTTCTTTTCACTGACCACAGAGAATGTTCAGGATCTTGGTCTAAGCATTAAACATTCTCCTCTGGTTCTGTGTAGAATGTCTCCTATAACAGATTTATAAGGGGAGTCACTTTACCAAACTAGTGCTTGAAAAAGATGTGAAAGCTTTAGTATGTAGCAGTTTCTTTTTGGAAATGACTGCCACAAAATGAGTTCTGAGTTTGATCGAATAAAATGCACTCTTGGGCTCCATGCTGTACTCTGTGTTTGAGGCAGAGCTGGAAAGAGGCTGGCTGTTTTCTCAACTTGTTGAGGAAAACACTGTCAGAAGGTGGAGTTGTGCCCATAGCATTAGTGTCAGGAGGCTCTTGGTAGCAACAGGAAAGAGTAAAATGATCTCTCTTATGATCAGGTCTCTTTCTCTCTGCAGCTCAGTATTGTAATGACTGTGTTTCTAGCGAAGTTGAGCAGCAAATCTGACAAAGTGTTTTGAAATGCAGGTCAGTTCAGGGTAGTGTTGCCTCTGTGTGTGCTGGCTGTTTGTGTAGCCCATCCTCAGAAAATTCTGTTTCCTTAGTACAGAGTCTGTCAGTTGGAGTGGTGAGAAATCAGCCTTTACAGAAGTGGATGGAAGCAGTGGACACGTGAAGAAGAGCAGAACACGGCCAGCACTTCTCATCAGCAGCACAAGTTGGACAGGTGTGGAGACAGAGAGGGTTATTTCTAATGTTTAGCCACTATTTAACAAAAGAGAAAAGAAGGGCTCTTTGTACTTCCTCACGCTTGACACACTGCAGAGGCACATGTCACCAGTGCCAAAATTGTGTTTTTCATCGAGTCCTAGAATGTTTTGGGTTGGAAAGGACCTTAAAGCTCATCCAGTTCCATCCCCCTGCCATGGGCAGGGACACCTTCCACAAGACCAGGTTGCTCCAAGCCTTGTCCAGCCTGGCCTTGAACACTGCCAGGGATGGGGCAGCCACAGCTTCTCTGGGCACCCTGTGCCAGCACCTCAGCACCCTCACAGGGAAGAACTTCTGCCTAAGAGCTCATCTCAGTCTCCCCTCTGTCAGGTTAAAGCCATTCCCCCTTGTCCTGTCCCTACAGGCCCTTGTCCAAAGTCCCTCTCCAGGTTTCTTGTTGGCCCTTTTGGGTACTAGAAGATTGTTGCGAGGTCTGCCCTGAGCCATCTCTTGGCTGTAAGAATTTGAAGACAAGTTGTAAATTATCTATCTTGGTGACTAAAAATGAATTATTTGTAGAGCTGTTTTGTAATTGTAGAGGCTGAGCTTCAGGAATGATTAGAAGAAATTTCCTACTTTTAACTTCAGTTTTCTTGCATGATGGTGTAAATTAGATTAAAAAAATAAAACATTTGATCCTTTATTTCTGATAATGTGTGTAAACAAATCCATCGCTAGTAACCATGGGCAGGGTTGTCTGTACATCTGAGTTAACAGGGCAGTTTCTACCATGAGTTATCTACCTTTAGAATCTAGAAAGTCTTAACTTGATAGCTTTGAGGGTGTATAGTATTTGGGCTCAGTTGTCTGCGGTGTGGCCAGTAAGGTGAGCAAATAAGCACATGATATGGTTATAGATTTATGAGAATGGTTACAGCAGATTTTAAACAGAAGCATAGTCCATACTTCAGTCACGTAGGGGAAGGTGAGGAAAGTTTTAGTTGTGGTTATTTAATGACAGTAATTCATTATAAATGATTGAAATATGAATGTCACTAATAAAGCCTTCTCTTTCAGAGGATGAAGACTTTTCAGTCCTTTTAAAAGCTTTAGAAGGTAGGTGTGAAGGATTTAATCTTGCCTATTCCAAGGGGAATGGTTGTACTCTGGACAGTTAGGAAGGGGTTTGCTAAAGAGCAGTACATCCAAAGGTGTGTTGGATTAATTAGAGGTGGTTTAAGAGCTCTAGCTGAACTAGAGAAGTGCAAGGTCTGGATTCAGTTAGAGTAGTTGTCACAGAGAATTGTATTTCTAGCTGGCTTGTGGACTGCAGTTTTCTAAGCTATTACATACACTATCCATAGGCATCTGCTCATAGGAAAGCACCTTGTCTTACTTCATAGACTTTGCAGCTGTGCTTTTGAACTTGATATATTGAAGCAGCTGATGTGGTGTGTGGTCAAACAAATGCTTCATGAATAGTGCGTGTGAAATGGACCATTATTTATTTCAGCTTTAACACCAACATTTAACATGTTTTAAGATTTCTGAGTTTGCCCCTGTTTTACTAGGTGTATGCTATTAAGAAATTACTTGAAGTAGGAAACTAAACAGTTAATACCCTGTGATCATTTTTAAACCACTGTATATTTGTCAGCTCTAAACAGTTTTTATTTATCTTCTCCAGGTTATGAGCAGTACATCAATGAAGGAGTCAAGCTTCCACCTTTAGTATGCGTGATAACAGGTAATAGTTTATTTGCGTTACAGTTGTTTCAGTGCTAATGCAGAAGACTTCACTGCCACTTCTGCTTTGTGCTGACTCTTGTGTTGATGGTGAAGACACAAGGGAGTAGTGATTTACAGTTGGGCTGTTACAGCCATGCAGTCATGGCACACCTTTAAAGAGGAGAAGCTTTCAGCCTCACTCTGTAGTACAGCTATGCATTACTCCACGCTCAAAAAAATTTATACTCAGCATTGAGATGCTACTGCAAGAGAAACATAAGATGTGATGTTTGGAGTGTGTCCTGGGTTCAGCAGTAGCAGTCATTTTTCTCCTTGGTAGCTGGTGCAGTGCTGTGTTTTGACTTTTGGCCTGGGAACAGCGCTGATAACAATGAAGTTTTGGTTTGGCCAAGGACTTTGTGAGCCTCATGCTCTGCCAGGGAGGAGGGGAAGCTGGGAGGAAGCAGAGACAGGACACCTGACCCAAACTGACTAAAGAGGTATTCCCTACCACAGCACGTCATGCCCAGGATGTAACTGGGAGTTACCCGGAAGGGCTGGGGGACTGCGGGGTTGGAGAAGGTATTGGTTGGTGCTTGGTCTGGTGGGGTGGGGCAAGTTATCGGTCGGCTGGTGGTGAGGTGTTGTATTCTCTTCCCTTGCTATTTCCTTTATCATTATTATTATTGGTGGTAGCAGCAGTGATTTATGTTATACCTTATTTACTAAACTGTTCTTATCTCTACCTATGGGAGTTGGAGTTGCATTCTTTTCTATTCTCTGTCCTTCCGAGAGCAGGGGGAGGAAAAGAAGGGGGGGAGTGAGTGAACGAGTTGCCTGACTAGGTTTAAACCACGACAGAGTGCTAAGCAGAACAGTTATTTAGTGCTGGAAAAGAGGAGCATCAAATGAAGTTTTGCCAAAGAATTATGTAGACAGAGTGAATATTCCTTGATTAACTTTCTCGTTAAGATCAAACTAAAACTTAGTGTGATTTTGAAGGGCCAATTGTACAGATCAGATTTGTCATTAGTTATTTGGTTATCACATGGCTGTAGGCAGAATGCAGGTTAAGACTGAGGAAATTGATGGGCTGATAAGGCCAGTTGTATGAGCTTCAGCAAGCCCGAGTGCGGGTCCTGCACTTAGGTCACAACAACCCCATGCAATGCTCCAGGCTTGGGGAAGAATGGCTGGAAAGCTGCTCACAGAAAATGACTTGGGGATGCTGGTCAGCAGCAGCTGAAAACAACCCAGCTTGTGCCCAGGCAGTCGAGAAAGCCAACAGCATCCTGGCCTGGATCAGCACCAGTCTGGCAGCAGGGCTAGGGCAGTGATCAATCCCCTGTACTGAGCACTGGTGAGGCTGCACCTCAAATCCTGTGTTTGGTTCTGGGCCCCTCGCAACAAGAGAGACATTGAGGTGCTGGAGCGGGTCCAGAGAAAGGCAATGGAGCTGGTGAAGGGTCTGGAGCACAAGTGTGATGAGGAACTGCTGAGGGAACTGGGGGGGTTTAATCTGGAGAAGAGAAGGTTCAGCGGGATGTTATCACACCCTACAGCTACCTGAAAGGAGGATGGAGCCAGGAGGTGGCCGGTCTCTTCTCCCGAGTAACAAGTGATGGGACAAGAGGAAACAGCCTTGAGCTGCACCAGGAGAGGTTTAGATGGGATATTTGAGAAAATTTCTTCCTTAAAATAGTGGTCCAGCATTGAAATAGGCTGCCCAGGGCAGTGGTGGAGTCACTGTTCCTGGAGATATTGAAAGATGTGTGGATGTGGCACTTGGGACCATCATTTAATGGACTGGACAATGCTGGGATAGCAGTGGAGCTTCATGATCTTAAAGGTGTTTTCCAGCCTAGATGATTCTGTATTGATGCAGATTCTTCTAAATACTGAGTAAGAGAGAAGTCCGTGTTCATATGGCTTTAAAGGGGACATGTTTTTTATGTGTCTTTCTGAAGATTGTGTGTAGTATCCTTTTGGGTACCTGATATAACAGGAGCTTGTAGCTGTATAGGCACATGCACATTCCACAGTGTTTTCAGTCATCTTATTAAATATTAGACATATTTTTTCCTGTTTTTAAACAGGTAAAGGACCGTTAAAGGACTACTACAATGGGCTGATAAACAAGCTGCACTTCAAACATATCCAAATCTGTACACCATGGCTTGAAGCTGAGGATTACCCTCTTCTGCTTGGTAAATAGTGGATTATGAAATAGGCTTGAGAATGTGTGAGAAACTACTCAGCACGTTTGCAGAGAGCTGTCAGAGACTTTGCACAGGAGCTGGTAGAATATAGTAAGTGAATGAAATTGCTGCTTAGTGATAGGGTATTTGTGGGTTTGACTTGTGCCAGCTAAATTTCTCTAACTAGAGTTCTTCACTGTTATCCCAAGACGTAGGTGTAGTACCCAAGTTGCTCTTTTAGCCTGTTTTTTGTACTCTTTCTTTTAACTGAGCTGGAATACAGTGTGCCCATGGATGTGGATGTTCCAGTTGACTTTCAGGGTCACTTCAGTACATGAAATCATAAAGTACTTGGCTGGGCAACCAAAAGTAGTTAAAATTCTGACGTATGTTTGGAATAGTATTCGCTCAGCATGTTCATTGTATTAGCATAAAGTGTGAGTAAGCTTAATAAAGTAGTAAAATACACATTCAACTTGATCTGCATTCTGCAGGGTTAGAGCCTGCCAATTTCTGTGCCTGTAAAACACTGTTACTTGGTACTTTTTAACTAACGTCTATAAAATCACACTGTAATGCCTCTCTTCTGGAACCACTTGAGCTGAAAGAGGTCGCTAGCGAGCTATGCAGTGATCCCTTCTGGATTGTGGTGTTTTCCGGGACAGTATCGGTTCTTAGCAGGTAAAGAGGCAGAAAGGCTGATTTAAGATACCTGAAATGTTAAAATTCCCTGAAATCTAACATGCACTTGTGTTTCTAAATCCTGACTGATGTTAGTCACAAAATACACTGTGCTTTTTTTCCTTCCCAAATGCTTGAAATGGTGTCGGTCTGTCTGGTGCTGAAGGTAGCTCATGTCCAGCTCCCGTCACCCACAGAAACAGGAAGGTTTGCAGTAAACTGGCAGAGTTGCTGTTCAGCCTCTCCTCTCTTCTCTTTGCTTTGCAGGCTCAGCAGACCTGGGTGTGTGTCTCCATAAATCATCCAGTGGTTTGGATTTACCCATGAAGGTGGTAGATATGTTTGGCTGTTGTTTACCTGTGTGTGCAATACATTTTGAATGGTAAGAGTTTGTTTATGATGCTACACTGTGAGTGGATGATGCAAAGCAGCATTTATATGAAGCAAGAGTTCAGTAGCTGCTGCATGTATCAGATGCCATGACAGTATCACACCATAATCATGTTTTAGTCCATAAATTGCAAGTAAAGGTTGTTTTATTTTAAATTTAAAAATTAACTCAAGTTTCTACAGAGTTGGGAGCATTTAAAGCAACCATTTGCCTTAAATAAATAGCTACTCTGTAATCCTTTGCTTCCATTAGCTCCTTTAAAAAGAAGCTTCCTTCTGCACAGATGTCTGTGTTCTGTGCAGGAAGGAGTGTGTGTCTAGTCACTCTTACAGTTTATGGCCTTTGGGGAAGCAGAAGGTTTAATAAAGGAAGACAAATTCTCTGTGAGGATTTCATGAACTGGCTTGTGGACAGATTTTTCCTGCTGGGTTAATCTTAAAGTAAATAATTGCCCTAATTTTTAAAGTTTGTCCAGATAAGTGGCCCAAAGACAGAGTGAGAGGACTTCCGTACTGTAATGGTAGATTTAAATATCCTGACATAGAAGAGAGAAACACTCTTTAAATTTAAATGCCTTCTTCATGCCATGTTCAAGGAATTATAGACAGGTTTGGGCTGGAAGGGACCTTAAAGCTCATCCAGTTCCAGCCCCCTGCCACAGGCAGGGACACCTTCCACTAGACCAGGCTGCTCCAAGCCCTGTCCAACCTGGCCTTGAACACTGCCAGGGATGGGGCAGCCACAGCTTCTCTGGGCACCCTGTGCCAGAGCCTCAGCACCTTCACAGGGAAGAACTTCTGCCTAAGAGCTCATCTCAGTCTCCCCTCTGTCAGGTTAAAGCCATTCCCCCTTGTCCTGTCCCTACAGGCCCTTGTCCAAAGCCCCTCTCCAGGTTTCTTGTAGCCCCTTTAGGCACTGGAGCTGCTCTAAGGTCTCCCCTTAAGGAGACTTCTCTTCTCCAGGCTGAACCAGCCCAGCTCTCTCAGCCTCTGGCTCCAGAGCAGAGCTGCTCCAGCCCTCACAGCATCTCTGTGGCCTCCTCTGGACTCGCTCCAGCAGCTCCACATCGCTCTGGGGCTGCAGACCAGCACATGGGGTCAGGTGTGAAGCTCATATCAAGACTTCCCGCATGATGGAAGTTTTGGGTGGCAATGGGCAACTTTTAGTTGTGTTTGTCCCACTCCCTGCTTTTTTTCTCACGTTTTCTTCTGTGGCTTGTGTACACAGTTTACATGAACTTGTGAAACACAATGAAAATGGTCTGATATTCAGAGACTCGGATGAACTTGCAGCACAACTAAAGGTAAAGGCGAGACTGGTTTTTCTTTCCCACTAGCTGTAAGTGCAGAGGCATCACCATGGGAGCTGCCTGTCCATATGTGTTGTTATCTCTGTGTTTTGCACTCTCTGAAGATATGGCTTTGCCTGGGGAATCTTACTGGCTTCACTTCTATTCAAATATGAATCTGAAGCTGGTTTAAATGTTGTCACTGTTATAGGACCAGACATTAGAGTGCTTTCTTCCTGCAGCACTGTAGTTCAGCGTTCGTGCTGGGGAGGCTAGAATGAGCCTAAAACGTGGTATGATGGTATTTTAATGTGGTTTTCCATTTAACTTACAGATGCTTTTCTTAGAATTCCCTGCCCTGGAAGGCAAACTCCACAGCTTCAGGAAAAACCTCCGTGCATGCAGGCAATTACGCTGGGATGAGAGCTGGGACCAGACTGTTCTGCCTTTGCTTGGGTGACTTTTGCGTGGGGAGGAGGGTGTCAAAAAAGCTGATACCCTACTGCAGCTGCCTGGATTTGCTCAACAGTGAATAAACACTTTGTATTGGCTGTGGTTGCAGTTTTTAAGTGCTTCATCTTGGAACCAGTGTTTGCGTGCACCTCTTTACCATTTGAGCTTCTTGTGTGAGTACTCATGCTGACAGTGCAGCTGAGGTTGTTTGCTGTGTGCTGACAGCATTAAGTCTTGAGGGAAGACGTGAGTCCCATGCTGAAGAACTTGAGCCTTGCCATCTGCAAGGCTCTGCCCTTCCTTATCACTTGGGATGAATCTTTAGAAAGTGGGAAGGAGGTTTAGTTGCTCTAGGAACTCGTGTGCAAAATCTGTTACCTGTGCTGCTTAAAGGTAACTTGGTGAAGATACTTAAAGAACTATTACCAGATAGACCCATTTGTACAGTAAGCACTCTAGGAGGTGATATGGGTACATTTTCTTCCAGGTGGGAAGTGCCCTTTATTAGAATTACTCAGGCTGAGGCTACAGTGGGGATTTAAATTTTCCAGCCAGTTAAGGTCACAGAACCATAGAACATTTGGGTTGGAAGGGACCCTAAAAATGATTAAGGATTCTTGCCTCGTCTTGCCTCATCTTGCCTAGACAAGCTCTGGCTATTCTCTTGTATGATTTATTGAGACAGAACCATTTTGTTTTAAAGTTTTCTTTTTTACAGTGTGTACAAGAAGGTGAAAGCACAGCCACTGGTATGTGGCAGCTTTATGGAGCACTTAGAGGAAAAGAGACCTTTCAGTGAATGTTGTCCTTGTACACTGAAGCAAATGTGCCCTTTTACTGTGAGAAAGAAAATCAAAAGCTTCCCTTTTTGAACAGGTGACTGGAAAAGGACAAAATAAACCCAAAATATTTTATTAAAGTCCATATAACTACATAAAAGGGTACTTTGCTTCATGAGTGCTACTAAGGAGAAAAATAACTGCTACAGCTGAACCCAGGACAGACACCTTCCACTAGACCAGGTTGCTCCAAGCCCTGTCCAACCTGGCCTTGAACACTGCGAGGGATGGGGCAGCCACAGCTTCTCTGGGCACCCTGTGCCAGCGCCTCAGCACCCTCACAGGGAAGAGCTTCTTCCCAGTATTTTGTCTCAATCTCCCCTCTGTCAGGTTAAAGCCATTCCCCCTTAGCCTGTCCCTACAGGCCCTTGTCCAAAGCCCCTCTCAAAGTTTCTTGTAGTGCCTTTAGCTATTGGTTTTCAAGCAAAATCCTCTACAGTAGTTTGGCCATTCCTCTGTAGCCATCAATGTGCACATGGAGATAAATTAAGCACATCCCTAATTAAACAGTAATGTCAAAAGCTTCAGAGAGGTTTCACCTTTCTATAGTGCATTTTTTTAAATCCAAGCAAGCAATCTGTACAGAACATTGAGCAACTTGAAGAATTTGGTGTTAGGGAGATAAAGGAGCTCCTGTGGGGGCTGCTAATACACATTTACTCCATAAATAGCACCTGTGAGTTCTTCCTTCTTGGGAAGACTTAGCTAAAACCTGTGTGAGGCTCTTTCTGCACATCCTACTTACTACTAGTAGTCACTGCCTCCTTCAGCTTGAGGAGCAAGATAATTCTTGCTCAAGATGATTCAAGTTTCAAGATACTCATTGTCCACTTTCTCCATCCTACAGACTGAGGTGAAAGTATTTGTTCTTTTGAGTAGCTTTTAAAACAAGGCAAATGAAGTCAAAAGAGGAGAAAGAGCAGCATATTTCATGTTGTGCTTCTGGACCAGTAGCATCCAACAAGAAAATGATGAATGGATTATGGAAAGCTTCAGAGAAGGTGAGGTCAGTTCTTCCTCCTCTACACAGAGCAGGGATACAGTGTATGATTCTGGTTTTGCTTTCTGGCTAGTCTGAGAGGATGGCTTGCCAATAGCTAGTTGTGAAAGTGACCTTATGTGACAGGAATGTGAATCAAGTTTATGTTATCACTGCAGAGTAAAGATGCATCTGATTTACAGCACCTGATTTACCTCCTCTTTCAGCTTTTGGCACTATCTGCTACATTCACTGTAGGCAGTTTTCATTATTCATTTTTAAGATGACCCAGACTGCAAGTATGCAGGTGCATACAAACAAGTATAAAAAGACACAAACCATTAAAGCTGGTTTTACTATTAAAAATGTATTTATTCCAGTGAAACACTGCTTTTTTCCCTTGTCAGTGTGAGATACTCATCCTGTGGTCCTGCAGACCTGACTCCGTTAGAAAGCAAAACATGGTCAGACAAAGAAATCCAGTTCATTTCTGTTGTCTTCTACAGAAGCAGAGCACAATATGATCAGGACTGGTTTTCCTATTGCTTAAGGTTCCCAGGTACCTTTCAGGGGCAGCAGTAATTCACTTGCTGGTAATTCACTTTGACAACAGCCCGTGCGTGGAGTTGTATCCTCAGTGCCTCTCCTGATGGTGTCTAGGACTTAAGATCACCTTGTTGCCAGGATGGAATATCTCCCGTTGCTCTGAAAACTGGAATTCTATTTGCCAAGTCTATATAAATAGCTGGAGAATAGTTACATTTGGCTGCACATCACAGAGGAAAACATGGTTGCTGTGGGCTGGAATAATTTGCCACCCAATCCCAGCTTTATCTGTAAGGATAAACACTGGGAATCAGATTTCTCCTTCATAAAATGAAAGGTAAAGTCTGCATGTCCAATTCTGTACTAAGATCTCTATCATGCTGTTTAAAGTAAGCCACAGGTGAATGCTTAGCAGTAACTTTTCTTAGACATGAACGGCAATGTTTCTGCTATGCACTGGGCATGATTTTGTGAGTTAACCATGGGCTGCAGATCAGCTGCGCCACTGGGAGACTGCAAGAGATGGGCTTTTGAGGAGTCTGTGAAGGAAAATCCCAAATCGCTCCCTGTTGTACTTCCTAGAATCATAGTTAGGGTTGGAAGGGACCTTAAGGATCATCTACTTAATCTCCAGCTGGGTTTTTTTAACCCTCACATAAAGGTTTGAAGCTGTATCTCTCTTATCACTGTGACAGTGCAGCAGATTTTCCTCCTTTAAGCTTAACCCTTTGTTAGCTCCTTCTTGCCACCAGACTTTGGATTCATCTCAGGTTGGCACTGACAAACATGTATTGTGATAGATGGGACAGACCAAAAAGCTAAGTTCCCATCTCCTGTGGGAAAGGGACTGCTTTTAGGCAGAGCACTCTTAAATCCAGTTCTAGGATAAAAATCTCACTGTTGGGCAATACCCATCATCAAAACCCACTCCTATTCATCTCTGCTTTGGGAAAGAGGCCAAGACTGTTGATGAAAAAGGCACATACCGAGTTGAGCTTGGAAGAGGTGATAGGTGTCTGGATTCCGGACTGTGGAAGCAATGTAGACCTCAGGAGGTTTTCTGTCTGCTCTGGAAGTGGAGAATTGCTGTAGCAGACCAACAAGGGCTCCAATGATCTCTGGATCATACACCACATCTGTACAAAAAGGAAAACATGACATATTTCTTGAGCATGGAGTAAAAAGCAGAATGGAAGCTACAAAACTAAAATATTCACCTTGCCAAAGAGTATGATTTTTATATTCAGGATTAAAAATTCCCAAGAAGAGCTCTTGGAAAACGCCTTTATTTTGTGTGCTATGTCAAGTTGCCCTCATCTCTAGTATCACTAAAAATCACTAAAAATCAGTGCTCCTTATTGTAAAGGCACTGTCAGATAATGTAATTAATAAGCCCAACGAGACAAGCAAAACCCCAGAGCGCTGGTGTTCTGCTACAACTGTCCTTAGCAGAAACTGGGTTGTTACAAACTAGAGGCTGATTGCAAAGGAGTTGGTTTGAACTGCAGCTGTTTTCATCTCAAATCATTTCCTTGAGAGCAGAAATAGCGATGGAAGGTCAGGCTGATGATGAAGGGGCACAAAAGATCAGCCTTACCAACCAGCACCATGATCCTGAAATGTGTCAGCCCTGCTGGGGACTGAGGCTCAAGAGGTGGTGGTTACTACACCCAAATGTGGAGATATGTGGATCCACCACCAACAGACATCTCTGTTACTCTTAGAATCACAATCAGCCAGGTTGGAAAAGACCTTTAAGATCCTCAAGTCCAACAGTTCCCCAGCACTGCCAAGGCCATCACTAAACCATGTTACTGAGGGCCTTGTCTACACAGTTTGTGAACACTTCACTGTGGTTCCACCACAGTTTGTGAACATTTGTTTGTGAACACAGTTTGTGAACACTTCCACAGTGGCTCCACCACTGCCCTGGGCAGCCTGTTCCAATGCCTGAACACCCTTTGGGGAAGAAACTGTTCCTAATATCCAGTCTAAACATCCCCTGGTGCAGGTTGAGGCTGTTTCTTCCTGCCCTATCACTTGTTACTTGGGAAAAGAGACCAACCCTCACCTCACTACAACCTCCTTTCAGGTAGCTGTAGATACAAGTTTTGATACAACATAGTAAGGAAATGTCCTCAGTAACTACTAATAGCAAACAGTAGATATGTATTGATCACCTCCAGGTTTGAGCTGCCTTCAGGAATCCAGCTTGGGCTCTACAGTACAGCTGGCATGAGGTAACACTCAAACCCTGACTATTTTATAAGATTCACATATTTAATGCATTAGGTGACCGTTTAATGACAAAAGCAGAATATTTTGTCATATTTCACCTGAATTCTTAGGTAACTCTTGCTTTGCAAAGCCCTAGATGAGGGAGTAAAATCCTCTAGCTACAGCTCAGAAATGTTCCTATTGCTACATTTTGCAGTATTAGGGGTTTTTCATATGATTCCTCCAGATTTATATACAGCGGAGATCCAAAAAGGGGTTGTGATTTGGCTTTTTGGTGGGTTGGTTGGTTGTTTAATATGTTATCCCCCAGGAGAATGCCAAGATGGCCTGTTAGTATTGATGAGGCTCTGAGCAGTGTTGGATTTATAATCTGTTTCTGGATCTTAAAATGTAGAAGGGATAAATAATTTGCTTTTTAATGTTATGTATATAGCTGCTGAACATCTGGAAAGACTAAATGGTGAAACGGACTGGGAGAAGATCTGTCACACACCTCCAGACACGGTAACTGAGACAGGGATGAGCACATCCTGCACACAGACACCTCTGTGCTTCCCCCTCTAACCTGTGCGATCATTCACCATGAGGCACAACAAGGGGGAAGGTACCTGCTGCAATGATGACATCAGGTTGAAGAGCCAACAGTTGTTTTTCTGTAACTAAGCCCCACTCAAGTTCTGCAACAACTACTTTCGGGTTTCGGTGATTTGCTCCTTCTGCCTTCTGGCCTCCAGATTCCAGCTGGATATGTTGGGCAGCTTCAGGCTCCAGGACAAAGCCATTCAAACAGATGTTTTGCTTCAGCTGCTGGAGAACGCGGTGGTGGTAGTCACTAAATATGTATGTCTTGGGATTGCAGGTTTTACAGATGGCAATTCCAGTGAAGCCGATCCCACTTCCTAATTCCAAGACTGTCCTGAAGGGTAAAGAAGTACTTAGCAAAACTCTAAGTGGAGTTAGGAAATCAAACCACCTACAATCTAAGCTTTGTCTCTGATAACACAGACAGTTGGTGAACACTGAAGAAGCCATTGTAAGGATAAAAATCAATCACTTGAAATACTGCCCTGGCATGTGGTACAAAGCATTCCCACCATGGGGATGGGACATGTTCTCACCTGGTTTTAGCCTTCTGCAGCGTGGGTGGCTCGATCTAACCAAGCTCTTTTCATACTAAGTGGAGAGAAACAGACACTTGGGTAGTGCAGTTCCTTTTCTTGTGAGCTCCATATTTTAAATTAACCTAGATGGATATTTCCTCAAAAGTGCCTGCTCCTCTCACCTGCTTATAAACAAAGCCCAGAGGAGGAGATCAGACATGTGCACCTGCACACCGAATGTATACAGTCAGATGGGATAAACCTCACCACACAGTGAGTGCAGTAGTTACTCACTAGACACTGCAGTAGCTGAAGTTGAGCAGCCAACTCCACAGAGCAGGTCAGACTACATGGTGTGACAGCTTTGATCTTAAAACCTGTTTTAAAAACACTGCGAGCTCCTCTGCTGGATTCAAGTTTTACTCTAACATCTGACTGTCAAGAATAGACCAGAGCAGCAGTTACCAGCAGCCAGAGGGTGTAGTCACTGTGGTTCTTTTGGAGGTACATTGTTAAGTTACAGTTGTGTGGCTCACTCACACTGTGAAACGTCCCTCCCCATCTCTGTCCAAGCTTATGTTGGTACCTGTTCCTGAAGCCGGAAGGGTTCTGCAGTGCCCACTCGGCAAGATGCAGAGCAGCCTCCCACGTGACGAGCCCCGTGGTTCCTTCAGAGATCACTGCCACACTCTCAGAAAGGGTGACACACTCTCCTGTAGGCTGTGGACACACAAGGCAGCCAAGGTGGATCAGCACAGACATGAGCTTTACAGTTTACAACCCATATTAGCACCTGGGAGAAGGGAAGAAGCACTCCAGGGGTTATTGTTAAAGCCAATTATTGCTTACTTCAGAGGATTAAAGTGATTTATAACACTGCAGCACTGGTTCTTACCAGTAAGTAGTGTTTGTAACAGTGAGTAGATTCTTCTTCATTTAAAATAGCTGCCAGTGGTTCGTACAGTTCATCTAGGGGCTCAGCTGTGATGGATTCATGCTGTGGGAGGCAGAACAGGCTGGGTTTGAGTAGCAAATCGTAGTGAAACAGGAAACGTATGTTAACTCATGTTTTAATACACTCTGTCATTATGTTTTATTCTGAATACTGTGGTTTGTTATTACACAAGGTCAAACTGGCCTCTTTTCAAGGAAAAAGATAACTAAGTTGCAAGGAACACCAGAAGCATTACCTTTTTGATGAGTTCAGTTAGAAAGCATCTTCTGTACCGGGCTGAAAGGGGATATTTCACACACAAAGGGTGGAGAATGGTCTAAAACAAAACCAGGAATTGAAGCCAGTTACCAAATGATGATTTTATGCCAGGCAGGAAGGGGTTAGGGAAAAAGTAGGGCTTTGTGTGTGTGTGTGTCACAAAGTGCATTCTGATTTAGTCAGTAACTAGAACTGATGCTGAGCCAGGAAAGGAAATTGGGCGACTTCTGGTTGGTTTTCTAGTTCCAGCTCTGTGGTAGAGTATGTGGTTTTCCTCCTTTGGGAAAGTAAATAGCAAAACCAAGTGGAAAGAGAGACTGTTTTGGTCTCTTCCTCCTCTTGCTTTTTTTTTTTTTCTCTCTTCAGAGAGGTGCAGAGGAGGTCAAGAAGATCCACTGAGGGGCTGAAGCACCTCTGCTCTGCAGCCAGGCTGAGAGAGCTGGGCTGGTTCAGCCTGGAGAAGGCTCCTTAAAGGGAGACCTTAGAGCAGCTCCAGTGCCTAAAGGGCCTGCAAGAAACCTGGAGAGGGGCTTTGGACGAGGGCCTGTAGGGACAAGACAAGGGGGAATGGCTTTAACCTGACAGAGGGGAGACTGAGATGAGCTCTTAGGCAGAAGCTCTTCCCTGTGAGGGTGCTGAGGCGCTGGCACAGGGTGCCCAGAGAAGCTGTGGCTGCCCCATCCCTGGGGGCGTTCAAGACCAGGCTGGACGGGGTTTGGAGCAACCTGCTCTAGTGGAAGGTGTCCCTCCAGTGGCAGGGGGCTGGAACTGGATGGGCTTTAAGGTCCCTTCCAGCCCAAACCAGTCTGGGATTCTACGATTAAAGACATCTGTGCTCAGGCACATGGGGCTTAATGTTGACGCTAAAACCAGCTAATAGCAGGAAGAGAAGGAAAACTGTTCTGCCGGGCACAATAAAAAGCTGTGACTCTGATTTTGGTAACGACGAGCAAACCCAGCTGCCGACAGCGAGCGCTCAGCTCCCCAAATATGCGCTAGGCAGCTCGGGCACCGCTGCGACACCCAGCATCCTGCCCTACCCTGTGCAGAATATCCAGGAGCAGAGAGGAGTCCATCGAGGTCCGGAGGCTGTGCTCAAGCTCCTAAAACACGATAAATAAAGGTAGTGATGCTCCTCCGTACCCCTGGGCGGCCCCCGCCAAGGGCAGCTGCTTGTGCCCGCCGTTCCGTACCGGCCACGGGAAGGAGCGGAGCTGCCGGGCCGACAGGAAGCAGCGCTGGAAGCGGAGCCCCAGCTCTGGCCCGGCCATAACGCTTCAGCGGGGTCTCGAACCGCGACTCTCCGGTAACCAGCCTGATGCTTCGCGCCCCCCTACCCAGACCCGCGGGGGGCACGGGCTGGCCCTACGCGCACCTTGATGACGCCATCTGCGCGCCCCGAGAACGTCATCGCCGTGCTCCTCGGCGAAGGACACGGCGCCCGTCCGCCGCCGAGAGCCGGACCAGGCCGCGCCGGGAGCGTGAGCGGGGCCGGGCCCGGCGGCGCCATGACCGGCTACACCGAGGACGAGAAGCTGCGGCTGCAGCAACTGCGCGCCCTGAGGCGCCGCTGGCTACGGGACCAGGAGCTGAGCGAGCGGGAGCCTGTGCTACCGCCGCAGCGGCTCGGGCCGGTGGCCGCCTTTTGGGAGCGGTTCCTGAGGCCCGGGGGGCTGTGGCGGCAGCAGGTGAGCGGGGAGGGACGGGGGGCGCGGGGGCGACGCGGGTACCCCCAGGCCGGGCCTGACGCGTGTCCCGCTGCCCACAGGTGTACAAGGCCTGTCAGACCGGCGGGTTCGTGCTGGTGCGGGTCCTGGTCCCCGCCTGGATCATCCTCTACTACCTGAAGTACCACGGCACGGTGCGTGTGCGGGCACGGGGCGGGGACACGCGTTCACCCCCGTGCAGGGGGGTGATGTGACACGAAGGTTGGCATTAACGTGCCGGTTCAGTGTCTGGTCCGGTGACACTCTGTGCTCGGCCCCCCCAGGTTTCTCCTTGCTTGGGTGGCACAAATGTGTATTTCGGGGGGGAGGAGGGGGGTGTCTTTCATGGCAGTGAGCAGCTGTGACCGTGCCATCTCCTGTGAGCTGGGAAGCTGTGTCCTACTCATTGATTTCCTGCAGGAACAGTGACCCTGGGGATAATGAGGCTGGTGTGGGGAAGGGGTGGCCAACATGCTGCTGGTGGGACAGACTCTTTTTGCTCATATGCTCTAACCTGCCTGGGAGGTGGAGCTTTGTTACCCTTGGCTATTGCTTTAACTGGTGGCAAGAGCCCGGCTTAATCAGCCCTGAACTCAGTTGTGTTTAGAAGGGTCCTTTCCCCCATGCTGGAATTCCTGTGTACTGCCTCTGGGTAATGCTCTTTTTCCTTTCCCCCTTCCCTCTTTTCTCCCGCCTTCCAGAAAAAGCCTCTCAGTATCGTTACGTCAAACCCACGGATATTCCCAGTAAGCAACACTTGTTTTATCTCCCAGCTTTGTAAACCAGGCAGGAAGGTGGTGACAGGGGGTGCAGTAGCCATGTGGGGACAACTTCTCCATGAATATGGCTGATCCTATGGGCAGGCCAGTTGCAGTATGTTGAAGTTTCCATCCTGACCTCGCAGCTGTCCCTGTTTCAGCAGGATATTTGAGTACCTGACTGACAGCACTGCCCATCCTGGGAGGAAAACACACGTCCCTTGTGGGAATGCAAGTGTTAGTTACAGCACAACAGCGACTTTTGAAGGATTTGGGTGTTTGAAGCCCCTGTGAAGGTGTGATTAATGCATGGAGTGACACCAAAGGGGTTCTGCTTCTCTTGTGGAAGCTGAGCTCTGCTGTTTCTGATAGTTGGAAGTTTTTTCCTTGACACATCCCTAATTGTGCTTTATCGAAACTAAAACTAAACAGTTCCATCCTTAACAAGCACAGAGTAGCATGCTGAAGGTCAAGTGGTGAGCCTCAGGCTTCAGCCTAATTACTCAGCCTAATTGACTTGAGTTAGGTCAGCTTGGTAGGCCAAGGCAGAGCCTGAAGCTATAACAGACAGCACTTGAGCACCAGATTGGTTTCAGAGGGTTTACCTGGATCCTCATGGGCTGCAGGGTGTGAGTTTGGAGGCTCATAAAGCTGTGCTCTGCTGAAGGTGGTTGTGACATCCAGAGGGACCGGGACAGGCTGGAGAGGTGGGACCATGTGAACCTCATGGAGTCCAACCAGGCCAAGTGCAGGGTCCTGCGCCTGGGTCATGGCAGTCCCTAGCACACACACAGGCTGGGGGAGACTGGATTGAGAGCAGCCCTGAGGAGAAAGACTTGGGGATGTTGGTCAGTGAACAGCTCCCCATGAACCAGCTTCATGGAGTGCTTGAGGCCGAACTCCCCCGTGTGCTGGGCTGCATCCCCAGAGCGTGAGCAGCACAAGAGGGAGGGGATTGTCCCTCTCTGCTGTGCTCTGGGGAGATCCCTCCTGCAGTCCTGATCCAGCTCTGGGGCAGCAACACAGGAGGGACTGGAGCTGTTGAAGAGAGTTCAGAGGAGGCCACGAGGATGCTGCAAGTGCTGGAGCAGCTCTGCTCTGGAGCCAGGCTGAGAGAGCTGGGCTGGTTCAGCCTGGGGAAGAGAAGGCTCCTTAAGGGGAGACCTTAGAGCAGCTCCAATGCCTAAAGGGGCTACAAGAAACCTGGAGAGGGGCTTTGGATGAGGGCCTGTAGGGACAGGCCAAGGGGGAATGGCTTTAACCTGACAGAGGGGAGACTGAGATGAGCTCTTAGGCAGAAGCTCTTCCCCGTGAGGGTGCTGAGGAGCTGGCACAGGGTGCCCAGAGAAGCTGTGGCTGCCCCATCCCTGGCAGTGTTCAAGGCCAGGTTGGATGGGGCTTGGAGCAACCTGGTCTAGTGGAAGGTGTCCCTGCCTGTGGCAGGGGGCTGGAACTGGATGGGCTTTAAGGTCCCTTCCAGCACAAACCATCTGCAGTACTGTAAGTCCAATATATGTTTTTAAACCAAGACAGTCTCGGAACATTTAGCTGCTGTTCTGTAGCTGAATAGCCAGGGTAAAGCCAGGGCAAGTTTTGGATCATGTGGCTGTGGTGTGATATCAGCACCTGGGGAAGTGCTGAGTTGAATGGGGGTGTTGTGAGTGAGTGGATGGTGTGTGTGTGTGTGGAAGCTGAAGTGAAGGCCTGTGCTGGGTGCAGGGGATGTTCTCACCAGACTCTCCCCTTCCCCCAGGGTGACAGAATTTTAGAGACTGGAGAAATTATTCCACCCATGAAAGAAGAACCTGGTGAGCACCACTGATGGCTAAAGGCTGATTCCATCCTTCAGCAAGCAAGGCGAGAACTGCAGCTGCTCCCTCTCTTCTATAAAGGAGTCTATGTTCTGCAACACCTCAGCTTTTCTGTCATTTACTTTCCCCTTAGTCCACTGATTCCAGTTGCTACCAGTATGGGAGTTGCCTTTGGTGAGGATTATTGTAAAGTGCTGGTGATTCCTAACCTCCAGATCCTCAGGTTTTTATCTGACTGACAGGATTTGGCAGCAGGATAACGTGGGCCTCATAGTAGCAGGAAGGGTGCTCTATTTCCTTGGGATTGCTCATGGAGAGGTTCACACACAGCAGCTGTCCTCTCCCAGTCCTTCTCCACCAACCAGTTGTGATGGAGCCTTCTGTTGAGAGGGGGGAACAGAAATGGTGCTGCTGCCAAAAATCCTTCCTTCTTTGCCCTTTAGCACTTTCTCCTTTTTCTTCAGCCCTGAGTTGAGTCTTCCCACCCTCACTGGCCCCATGTTCCTGCAGAACTTCCTTCTGGGGAAGACTGGCTTCTATGACACTTATGGATCCCTTCTAACATGAGATCTTCTGTTATTCAAAGTATTTTTTGGCTACTTTGGGGATAGAAATGGTTCAACCAGCAATCCGAAGGGTTAACCTGAGGTCCAGAACCTCATGGAACCTTGTGTGAGCAGTGTTTGTGAGGTCAAAGTGCTAGGCAGGAGCCCCCCACCCCACTGTGCCTCGATTATGAGCCAGAGCCCTCAGAACCCTTCCAGCCACACACCAGCAGAGCCATGGCCAAGGCCAGCGTGGGAACTCTGCTGCAGCCCGCTGAGATAAGGGGACCAGTGGAACCCCCAGCAGGAAACCACACTCAGCCCGCGTCCTCCCGGGCCAAGCTGAGTCTCACTCCCTCCCAGAGCCTTGCTGAGCCCGTGTCTGTCTCCTTCCTCAGGTAAAGGCAGCTCAGGAGGGATGGCAAGAAGGGAGTGACATGGAGGGGTGGGCTCAAGGAGCTGTAGTGTCCTGAGCTGGAGGGTCAGTGGAGGCTCCTGGGAGTTGGTGTGGGCTGTTGAGGGGTAGCAGTGGGAGTAGGGGAGCAGTGGGGTTAACAGAGAAGTTATTAACAGGGGTGACTGAGACCTGCATGTCCTTCCTGTGGCCTTGGGGGTGGCTGCCCCATGGCTGTGGGGGTCTCTGTCCCTACCAGTGCCCCATGGTGTGTTGGCTCCCCCAGCATGGAGTTCTCCATGGGTGAAGCTACCCCACACTACTGCGGCCTGAGGCGCACCTTCGCCTGCACCAACTTGCTGCTGCTCAGCTTGGCCGAGGATGAAGCGGCTGACGATGCAGAGGAGGATGATGATGCAGACAGGAAGGCTCCCCCTGTCCCCTGCACACACCCACCAAGCTCCATGGATACCACCAAGCCCGCCACCCCGCCGGTGAGTGACTGCTGAGGGTTTCCCACCTCCCTGGGGTCCCCTGACACCCACTAATGAGACACTAGTTGGGGTGCCCCACATATCCAAGGTGTGTGTGTTTCCCCCTGCTCCCTCCTCCCCCCACTTCTGCAGTGCTTGTGAGGAACTGTGACATCCCCTGGGGGCACCCTGCACCATGAGGATGCCTGATGCCCCCAGGGCTCCCAGATTCCCTCAAGGAAGCCCTGATACTTCCTCTAGTGGGAGCCCTCTGGGACTACAAGGAATTCATAGCACCCCCAGAGTCCCAGGGACATCCCCACAAAGTAGCACCCTTAGAGCCACCCCTGATGTCACACATCCCTGTGATATGGTGCCAGGGTAGCTGTTGTAGGCCACAGGCTCAGTCCCAAGGACTGGTGTGGATCAGGTTGTGGGTCCCCAGGGTCGCCTGGGCATTTTGGCACAGATAACACTCCCCTAGCAGAGGGGATGGATGCCTCTCCCTCACCCAAGGAGGGGGTCAGTGTCCCAACCCCTCCAGCAAAGACGGTTCAGGACACAGAGCATGGCCGTGTGCAGGTGCAGTGGAAGCATACATCACCATCGCCTTGCCC